ACAGCCATCCAGAATTCCTTTCTTTTCCTCTTCTGTCTTGGTCGCGTTACGGATACTACTACGGATGCTCTGTGAAGTACCTCAGGTATCGCGTATTGTCTGCATCCCAGGAGTTTCTCTCGGAGAGATTCAAGCTTAGGCGTTAAGGTAGTGTCCACATTCAAGTCACCAGAGGAATAGCTGGCGCGCGGACGCGTCATGGAAAAGCCAGGAGAACAGATCATATTGGGAGATTGCCGTCTCTAAACACTGCCACATTGTGCCCAACAAATGCAACCTTGAAAACGCCAAAGAAAACTAGCTTGCGAGATATTGTGTCCGGAATTGAAATGCCTCCTGCACGAGTGGTCAGATTCTCCTCTTCAAGAACACATTGCAGCAAGTAGGCATGCAGCAGCAGTAGTACTCACATTTACGTCCCATGTATGTCGCATCGTTGTCTTTTTGGTCTTCCCGCGCCTCGTCCAGCAGCTTGTCTATGCCGCGTTCCTTGAGAGCGACCTACCTGCTAGTCAGTCATTGTGCTCTTGCTCATCACTCACCCAAGCTTGGCTGTGAGAACTATCATCGTCGTGGAGACTTAACCTACCGTCAAACACTTTTGGTAGTTCTTGAAAAAGTCGGCGCACTCATTATTGTCTGTGCCGGTGCCTCTCAGGTACTCTTCATCATGTTGTTAGATGTCGTCTTCGTCTATCATGTCATGTGTAGGGAACCAACTCACTTTCACTGTACCATTTCAAGAAGCATGTATCGTAGCGCCTGTTGCAACAGAGTCAGCAGCCAATTCTTTGATCTCTTTTCATACTCACTCACTCCTTGACTTCATTGCATTCGGGGGCCAAAGATGCAGACATGATGGATGTTTCTCTGCTGACGGAACTCACGGAGGACTGAGAGGTGAGGTTGCAGGTTGCGGCTAGAAATGGAGGCAAAATCGTCACAGGGGGGCCTGAGTGCCTAAGGTCAGCGGCTTCCGCTGTAAGTGGAAGGCTCAGCTAGGCTCTTGCATTCTTCCTCGCCTTCACGGTCCACCTCACACTCACCTGCTTCAATCTCTCTAAAAACAAATGCAACTTCTTCTCAATCCCACAAAGTCCGAACATCCATACTGGGTTCCTGAATCTCACTGTCAGTATCGAACGAAATCGACCTTTTCATCCCAATACGAGTACTTCTTCCATAAGCTAAGGTACAAGGGCGCCAAGCATCGAAGCAGCTTATCCATATACTTATCGATTAGATAACACCTCCAATCTTATCGGCCGGGGGCCTTTCATGGTGGGCTCTTTTTTTCTTGTTCGATCGTCAAACTTCGCAGCGAAACCGCGACAGCCTCCACCAAGCACCAATCCCGCTGCGCCAATACGATGACGTCCCCCCCAGACTTCAAGTCCCTCCAGGACAAAGTCCAGGCTGCGCTCGTGGCTACCGTCAAGTCGGTCAACCGTGTATCCGCCGAAGACCTCCCCTTTCAGCGCGCCGTCAACCCCAATGTCGGCGACGACCTCGACGCCAAGACCACCCGGATTCTCGAGCTCTCGACCGCCCTCCTCAAGTCAGCTGCAGAAGTCTGTGGACTCAACGCGCCCGATCTCGAAGATGCCGACGATGTCGACATGCGCTGGCGAAGCATCGTGGACGTCGTTGACTCAGTCTTGGAGAAGGCCGACACCTCTATTGACGAGTACACCGGAGCTTTGAAGAGGAAGGATGCGCCGGCTGCTGATGCCGTAAGTGCAGCCTATGATTTAAACGGAAGACGATTGTACTGACGCTACATAGGCTCCCCAAGCAAAGAAGCCCAAGACGGCCGGTGTCGTCCGCAGTGCAAACATCACCAAGCCCCAACTTCATTTCGATCAGCCGGTCGACAACAACGCTCAATGGAAGCCCCTCATTACCAAGAAGCCTCACGCTACTGTTCCTTTGGAGAAGAGCCTGATCACTAGCGAAACAGAAGAGGGATTTGTCCAGTACGACTACCAAACTTTCTTACCGTTGATATTTCCTAGAGTGCCCAGGTCCGACCCGGCCGCATACAAGGCCGCAAGCAACTCGCGCAAGAAACTGAAGAAGCTACTGTTACTCGAGAATACTGACAGCAGGGCTAGATACAAGCATCCGTACGAAACCGAAATCCTCGAGGCGAAATACCCCGACCGTATCTACGAACAAGCCGAGCCGATTCCATGGCAGCCCGTCGAAGGCACGGAAGCCATCTACGTCGATACATACGAAGGTGTTCTGAAAATGCTGAAGGACCTCAAGAAGGCCAAGGAAATCGCCGTCGACCTGGAACACCACGACTTCAGAACATACGTCGGACTCACGTCATTGATGCAGATTAGCACAAGAGAACAGGACTGGATTGTAGATACTCTGAAGCCCTGGAGACAGCAGCTACAGGTACTCAACGAAGTCTTTGCTGACCCCAGCATAATCAAGGTCAGTACTACTAAGCTAACTCACGCTTTCTCAACACAACTAACAAAACCAGGTCTTCCACGGCCCGTTTATGGACATGATGTGGCTGCAGCGCGATCTTGGACTGTACGTTAACGGCCTTTTCGATACCGGAAGTGCATGCGAAGCGCTGCACTACCCCCAAAAGAGCTTGGCATTTCTTTTGAAGAAGTTTGTCAACTTTGACGCCGACAAGAAGTACCAATTGGCTGACTGGAGAGTGCGGTAAGTAAACCCCTGAAGTGGCCTCTCTGAAATACTAACACTGGATAGCCCCCTTTCAGAAGAGATGCTGTACTACGCGCGTTCCGATACCCACTTCCTGCTTTATATCTACGACAAGATGCGCAACGAGCTTGTGATGAAGTCGGACAGGGGCAACCCTAGTACGGACTACATCGAGATGACGCTTCAGAAGTCCAAAACTCTCGCACTGAGCCGCTATGGTGGCGAGGTGTTCGACCCCAAGTCTGGCAAGGGCAGCAAGGGCTGGTACAACACCCTTCTGAAGCACCCTATGCCCTTCTCGGGCCAGCAATTTGCTGTGTACAGAGCCATCTGGGAGTGGAGAGACGAGGTGGCACGGAAAGAGGACGAAAGTACCGCTTTCGTCATGCCCAACGGTATCGTTGGCGATATCGCAAAACACATGCCACCCGACGCCAAGGCTCTGCATGCTCTGATACCGAATCACGCCTTCATCGCACGGAAAAACGTCACCGAGATTTGGAAGCGCTACCAGGAGGCACGGGAACGGGGCATCAACGAACCGCGTCTGTTCGACTTTTTCAAGTCAGAGCTCCCAAGGGCCGCTGCTAAGCCTTTGGCGGTGGTTGCAAGCGAGGATGCGATCGAGGGGGCGCTGGAACCTGCTCTCTTGTCAGAGTCTCAGCTGTTCGGCCGCATGGCTCTGAGCTCGGCCTGGGAACAGCCAGCCTCTGTAGCCAATGGCCTTGGGGAGTACGTCATGCTCCCGTGGCAGAAGTTTGTACAGGATGCGAAAACGGTCGTGGCTGCTCCCGAGGAAGACGTGGCTATGGAGGGAGGCGTCGAGGCGGAAGCCAAGGCTGCTGCCGTCGCTCAACCCGCTCAGCCTGAAGTGGAGGAGGAATTCACCCTCAAGGCTGGCACGAAGCGGAAAGCCCCTGCAGCAGACGCTTCCGATGCTAGCGATAACGAGTCACAGTCCGGCGAGAGCTCCATTGACATTGTCCTGGAGCGGCCAGAATCCGAGAGGAAGTCAAAGAAGAACGGCAAGACGGAGTCTGGCGAGCGTGAGGCAAAGGTGGCTGCAAAGAGGGCAGACAAGGTGGCGCGGTATACAGAAGATTACGACAAGGCCGCAGCCGAAGTACAACGCCTCGAGAAGGAAGCCGCCAAGAACAAGGCCGAACCGGCAGAACTCGAGGAGGCGAAGGAGACGGCCGCGGAGAAGCAAAGAAAACTGCAAGGGTACCTGACGGCTATCAACAACCGCAAGTCCAAGACAGAGAAGAAGGCGGCAAAGAAGGCCGAGAAGGCCCAAAAGGAGGCGGAGAAGAAGGCGAAGAAGGAACAGAAGCGCGCCGCGAAGAAGGCCGCGAAGGAGGCCGCGAAGGCCGAGCAGCAGGAGGCTGATGGTGCGGACTCTAGCGATAGCGAGGAGGAGGAGACGTTTGACTACAGTAAGGCCACCTCGGTGCTCCATGCGAACAGGACGGGCAACCGCGGCAAGACGCACGTCAAGCCGACGTTTGACCCGTACGCGAAGACGGGTGACGAGCCGCTCAAGGGCGCGAGAAAGGCGCCGCCTCCGAGAGGTGAGAGGAGCGCTACATTTAGGAAGTAGGACGTTGGGTTTGCAGCGGATGGTTTGCAGCTTGATGGGAGTAGGATACTTGGACGTGGGTGGACGAATCAGTAGCGTTACTGTCCCAGGCGAGAAATGCCTTTCGTGGACGGTCCGTTTAAAGTTAGGAACAGAACAAGAACTTTCACCAAAAGAGAGAAATGATGCCGTCATTACATGCAAGTCTTGAGCAGAGCTCGTTAAATTGATCGACTATTCTACGTGTTGCATGAAGACGAGCGCCTTCCGTGAGGGTACCTCAGACATGTATGTGAGTAAGCCGCATAATAAGCACGGAATTCCTTCCGCGGTCTGCCTGCCAGGCGTGTCTTCGCGAACTCTTCTGGCTTCCCTCGTTTGAGGGCTTACCTTGGGATCTGTGTGTGTGTGAATGTCAAAAAAAAAAAACCCCCCAAAAAAAAACAAGCCCGCCATCTCCACACCGCGCCTTTCCATGGAGTAGCAAACGCGGGCATGTCATACATGATGTGCCGATCTTATCGCGTTCCCGGTAGTGGGAAAATGCGGAGCAATCAGCACGGCACTAGCGAGGTTGGAACTTTGGAAGGGAGCAAGCAGAGCGTGTGTTATGTCCGGACGTGTGTGGCCCCTGAGGCTCTTTTTCTTGCTTTTTGGGAGGTTTGATAAGATAACGTAAGTACGTAAGTATACCTATATCAACGCTGTTTCTTGAGATTGAGGTTGAGGTATTTTGACTTTCTAGGTTTCTAGCTGTGGCTTACATATATAAAGTTGAGACGACTGATTCTGTGTCACTCTTAGAACGAGACCTTTTTAGCTTTTGGAGAGTGAAGACAGCGTTTGTTGCGCGACTTTAACACGGGTTCATCTGAAGGGCGTTGATCAACCGTAGGCATAAAGCCCTCCCTTCAGCAGCCATCATCTCACATCTCTACAGACTCACCACCACTCAGCCAACTACTCCAAGCCTTCAAAGGACAACCAAACATCCACCTCACCAAAAGGGTAACCAAACGACGCAACAATGCCCGACCCCGCAACAGAAATCAAGAAGCCGGCACGCCTGCCCTCAGCCACGCACCACGTCATCGTCAAGCTCGAGACGATTCACGTGCCGCCTCCAGAGGTCAATGATGGCGACCTGGGAGAGAACGTGACGCACGAGGTTATCGGGTACGAGTATACCCGGCCCTCGGAGAGCGCTGTCGCGGCGGCGAGGGCGTGGCCTGCGAGTGTGCTTATTACGACGACTGTGCCTATTAATAAGGAGACACTTGGGGAGGCGCCGTATTTGTAAGTATTGTGGTGTCTTTTCTCTGGGTTATGGGAGGGTTGGTCTGGTGGATAGGGGTGGTTGATGGGAGAGAGGGGGTGGGAATGAAGTTGGGAAGAGTTTGAAAGAGAATGTAAGGGAAGGAGACTCCTGCTTCTGAGAGTGATGAAGCAGATGGACAGATGACTGGACCGGGTTGCCGGTTGAGGGATCGAGTGATTCTATCTACCAGACCAAGGAGCCCGAGTCGGTGGGCAGCTTCTCTTCAGTTTGGAGTTGAGGAGTCTTCGATCTGCCTGCATCGAGCTTGCTTGGATCCGGCTCTCGAGATGGCTGGCTTGAAATAGAATAACAGCTGACGACGAGGACGACGCAGAAAGTGTATCATCACGGAGACAGTGGGAACGGATCACATCGATCTGGAGGAGTGCAAACGCCGCGGCGTGACCGTCATATACTCGCCCAACGCCACAGTCGAAGCCGTCTCCGAGCATGCCCTCGGCTTGGTAAGTCTCCCCTCTCCCTATCCCTCAACACAAGGCAACACCAGTGAGGAAAGAACCCCCGACACCAGAGTCACGAGCACTCGACTAGAATGAATATGAAAGTCGTCACTGACCTTGGATGCGGGTATCCAGTACTTCTCATCCCGCAGACGCTTCGTGACGCTCCACAACACAATGATGGACCACGCCGAGGGCCGCCCGAATCCCTGGCGCGCAAAGGGGAGCATGTCCTCCCTCCTCCTGGACAGCGAGGGCCGCCCGCCGCATACCTGCGGCAACGAGGTTGTGGGGATGATCGGCTACGGGCCCATAGGGCAGCGCGTCGCCAAGATGTGCCGTGCGCTGGGGATGGAGGTCCTCGTCGCCGCGAGGAAGAGCGATGCCACCGGGTCCGCCGTGAACGGGAACGGGAACGGAAATGGGCCCGCCGCCGTCGCTGCCACTCAGCCGAACGGCAACGGAGATACACACCGCACGCCCTTCGCAGAAGTCCTCCGTCGCGCAACAACCCTCTTCCTCATCGTCCCGCTCACAGCAGAGACCAAGAACCTCGTCGGTGAAGCCGAGATGGCGACGATGAGACCTGACACTGTGATTATCAATGTCGGGCGGGGCGGGACCGTCAACGAGGCGGCGCTGGTGGCGGCGTTGCGGGAGGGGAGGATCTCGGGAGCGGCGACGGATGTTTATGAGGTTGAGCCGGCGGGGAGCGGGCGGGATAGCGTGTTGTTGGGGAATGAGGCGAAGAATCTGAATCTGACGCTGACGCCGCATTTGGCGTGGTGCGCTGATCAGACGAGGGTGAATATTCGGAGGGTTGTCGGGGAGAATGTGAGGTTGTTTTTTGGGGGCGGGAAGGGGAGCAATGTTGTGCTTGATATGCGATGAGACATATGGATTTGTCGGGTTACGGGATTAGGAGATGTTCATCCCATAGAAGTTGGATGACTATTGTTAATATAGTATCTTGAAGTCTGAGCACACGTCGGCGAGGTTGTGGACAAGCCAAAAGATTGATGAGGCTATTCTCACCGAGGATCTTCACCGTCCACCCCAGATTGACGCGCCCGCTCGCTGCAAGACCCCACACTTTGCGACATTTGAATGCCCGAAGACGACCTCGCGTCTCATTGGTGCTTTGAGCTGCTTCCAAGTGATGCCAAGCCATCTGTTTGATGCCCGGCGAGCCTCTAAGGCTATTCGAGTAATATTCGATGTCAAGTATGAGCCTTATTCATGAACATCTCACCTATTCGAGCTTGGCCCATCCATCAATGGAATCGACCCAAGTCACTTAGAGATGGCTTTAAAGCGAGAGAGAATAGTTTCGACGAGGTGTTGAGGATCAGGACGTGCGAAGAATGAGAAAGAACCCGCAGGATCAAAGATGATCGTCCTGAGGGTTGACGCGCCGTGCAAGCCTCACTTCTCTCTCTCATCTGTCGTACTAAACTCCGGGAGGCGTCGCATGTAAATTGTTTAGCAACTCCGCGACACACGCGAGCCTGGTCTCTCGAAATCATTCGAGCTTCGTTATGCTTGAAACATCTAAACTTCTCCCACTCGAGCCGCTCGCCGTGCCCACAGTGACACAGTTTCGGCGAGAGTTGCTTCTTCTCTCGCAACTCGACCTAAGCAACAATCTCTCACAAACATGCACCAGCCTGCTATTCACCAGTTTGTAGAGAGCGTCGTCATCAGATGTACTTCGTAAATTGACATAACAATTTGTCTAAGCCACAGTGATGCGTTCACCCGTTCGGTGAGTGAGTGAACGGCATCGTTCGCCGTGCGCTGGAAATGCAGGACGTTGGAGTTCCCCACTGATCGCCTTTAATTTCCTCAACCCCTGGGCTCTGCTCTGGGCTGAGCTGAGCTGAGCTCAGTTGTCCGGATGAAACGTCAGCTGCTTCCGAAGGTCTTGCCACCGAGAACGGAACTGAGTGACCTCCTGTACCCAAATGTGAACGGCGGCCTGCGTCTTTGCCCATTTACTTGATGTGCTGGCTCGTTTGATGAACTCTCATATTGAGTTCTCAGAGACATGAGATGTGAGTGAGTGGAGGTCTGTCATGTCACAAAATCAACAGACACGCAGCAGCTGCCAAGGCATTGCCGCGGGATCCACCGCGGGAAATATCAGATTGTGTGGGGATTTGGGACGATGGGTAAGGGGTGCCAGCAGAAACTCTCACTCAGGAGAGCCAAGCCTTTCTTGTTCTCCCATGTTGATGACTTGGCATAGAACAAGCTCTCAACGTCACCCAGAAATGGACCGTCGAATGACCTCTTGAGTAAAGGTGAATGGAGCTGTTTGATGGAAATAGAAAACCAAAAGGTCTAGAACCTGATTCCGAGCGGGAGACTGGGGTGCTTCCCGCCGGGACGGGTGTGCCGCGCGCGCTCAGGGGCCGGCCGGCCTCCAGGCGCTCATAATGCGTTCGTTTGTTCGAAACGCGGGCCCCAGAAGCAATTTACATTGGACATACGCTACCACCCACGAACGATACCAGATCAAGATGAAGGGAAACAAATCCCAGGGATGGGTCGACTTTGAGCAATCTATATATGAACTCGACGCGACTTTCCCTTTTCCATCGGGAAAGTCTTTTTGATCTCGCTCTCCATTCTCAAACACCACCATTCATTCGTGCTTCAACTCTCAACTCCCTGGGCTGGACTCGGATAACTCTCGTTTAAACAACCAAACACAAACATATTCGTTCTACCATTTTCCCGAACTCAGCGCCCAAGATGCAGCTCTCCGCCCTCTTCCTCCTCGCCCCCGCCCTCGTGGCCGCGACCCTCGACCCGGCCACCTCCAACACCAAGGGCAAGTGTCCCTCGAGCTACAACTGCAGCGCCACAAAGGTCTCAAAGGCCATCCAGGCCGCCGAGTGCTCCCATAACACCCGCACCAGCAAGACCCAGACGTTCGCCGTCTTCGAGACCGACCACCAGTACGACGGCAACAACGGGTACCCCTACGGAACCTGCTCCGCGTACACCTGCGACTCCCCCACCGAGATGATCACCGACGACGACTGCTGGACTTTCTTCTGGAGGTGAGTTTTGAAAATGACAAAAATTGGGGGGTTTTTTACGACAATGGACCGATGACTGACGGGTTATGATTTACAGCGGTACCGGCGAAGAGGACGATGTTGGCACCGGCTGCATCAAGGACCCCAACACGGGCGTCTGCGGCTGCGAGAACTCTGACGGAACCTTCATCTCCGGCAGCAGCGACTGCACATAAAGGACATCTAATTCACGAAAGACATTTTTGGTGGTCGAGAGGAGAAATAGTCATGCTTGACTTGAGCCAACATAGCCTCTGACGGTGTGTGCTATTCATGTACATATATAACCCAAAAACAACAACATTTGTACAAAAATGGTCACAAATTCATTTACCACGTGGCCTAGATGGGGCGTGATCATCATCATCCTGGCGCAAGGTTTTCTGCTATATGACGTTTATTTTATCGTTCTCCATGTTGGTTGAGACTCGGGTCCCGTTGTGGCCCGAGCCATCCTCTTCATTGGAATGAGGCTGAACCTAAATAACCTTTTGACTTTCATCCCGCATCTCGCAATTACCTAACAACGTAATTGGCTCTCTGCTATTGGTTGCTGTGGTATCTACGCTTAATTAAAAGTTATAGAGTAAGTTTACTCGGCAACGCTACCGACCACATTGGCGGGCAAGCATAACCGTTTGATGACCCGGTTTCCGTCATTTGCATCGAACCTGTCAAGTTGTAGACACATCTTTGATCAACTGTATCCGCCTCCGAAGCTCCACGGCATGGACAATGGGGCCACTTTAACACTTCTTGACTTGAAGCCCTATGGATGTCGAGTGGATTAGACCCGGATTGCCTCAATTCATGCCAACCAAGGTTTTGCGCGCTGGAACACACAATTTCGGTTGTGTTAGGACAGCAATAAACTTACTCATACCTTAGAGAGAGTGATGAAATCAAAGTAAGGAGAATGTCATTCAGTATTGAGACATATGCTGACACTCAAGAAAGGTGGCGAGGAGAGGCCCGAGAGGGTGCCACGACATGCCCCCCAGGCCCCTAAGAGATTATGGAAGACGGGAGACCAACCCACCTCAATAACGAAGTCAATTAAACCGGAATAACTCAGGGGGTTCTCTTCCTGTTCTGAGTTTTCTCCCTGATTGTAGGGGCTATTTTCGAACCAATGAGTGGTGCATGAGATGTACTATAAACGGGCACACTGCCTCGTAACCCTGGCGAGTCACAGTCCAGCACGTTTATTGATGGGTCGATCGCTTCGAAAATAAGTGTCTTCCGAGACTCGATAATAAGTAGGCATTTGCCCCTGCAAGTTTGTGCTACAAGGTATCGGATAACGATGACTTGACGTGCCTAGAAGTTGGAACATCATAATACGTCAGGATCAGTTGATCTTTGTCGGATTGGAAGTCCTATTCGGCCGCGAGTAGGGGCAGAGCATGGGCCACCTCGAGGGGGTACACTTAGACCTCGACTACCCACCCAACCTCCGGTTGGAATCTCCCTTCTACTCCTTACGCAGAATCAATCAATACAGAGATATTGATACTTCGTCACCCCCAGGACCCTACGGTTCGAACCAACTTCCCTGTGAAAGGAATACCAACAATCTCTTAATTGGTTGCTCACTGGATTACGGCCGGTGCAGATAGCCGCGGACACGGGCTGCCTTCCGAAGGATTACTGAACCCGCCACTATTCCTATGTAGGGACGATGAACCAGTGTCCTGGGTTTAATGTGTTCTGATACGTGATGCTCATTCCTATTCTGGGATGCAACTCCGTAAAAGTGGGAACAAAACGCATGCAGTTGGTTGTTTTGCACCAACAATGTTTGCTTCGACGCGCATGAAGCCAAGAAGAGGGGTAAAGGTGAAAAGATACCATCTCTTTCATAAAGAGCGGGCGCATCCAACAGAGTATCTCAGGAAAATCTAGAAAAACGAAGTTTCAAAGTTTGTTACAACAGACTACCGCACTGAGGCGACTGCAGGTGTCACCTGATTCGAGTCTTATGTCTTAAGGCACCATTCAATAGTGTTCAACGTCAGGATACACGGAGACACACAATGTGCGAAGACAACGCTGGGAGTAATGCGGCTGCTGATGCAAATGCTCAGCCAGACCATGAAGTCGTGGTGCTCGCCGATGATGAACAAGTGAGGCCATTGAAGCTCACCCGGCGCAGAGTGAGAATACTAAGGAAATATCAAATAGAGCGACACGTCCTCAGAAATTGGAAGCGTAAGCCATGTGACTGATGTTCAGTGATGTGGCACTTGCTAAAATACTCATCAATAGAGTGTAGCTTCTTCGAGTACGAGTGTGAGCAGCTCAATTCTGGACTACCGGTTGGAGAACGGCAGAACCTACCACAAGTACAAGGACGGGAGTAAGTCATGAACATCGGGACAAGATATCTATCTTATAAAATCTGCGGTGCTGAATTGAGAATATCAAATAGAATACTGGTTCCCAAATGATGAGAGAGAAAACGACCGTCTCGGTAAGATATGAGATCTTGAAGGAGTAGGTTCCGAGACAGCTGTTGACCCTATTTGTAGACCTGCAGCACAACTTATTCATCCTGACTTTTGAGGATAAACTCGCAACCGCCCCGCCAAACGAACCTGATGCCAATGTTGGAAAGGTTTTGGATATCGGCACAGGAAGTGGTATCTGGGCCATTGACTTTGGCGAAGAGCACCCGGATGCTGAGGTTTGACAAGTACCTACACACAACTCATAAAACTCCTAATCATGATTGCAGGTGCGAGGTGTTGATCTTTCTGCTATCCAGCCGGAATTGTAAGTGCTCGATTCCGTCACCTTCGGTTTCTAATATTGATGACCGAGTGCAGCGTGCCGCCCAACGTCAAATTCGAGATCGACGACATTGAACAACCCTGGACATTTTCGCAATCATTTGACTACATCCATAGTCGTATGATGAACTCATCCATAAAAGATTGGAAATCATATATCAAAACTTGCTACGAGTCAGTTACACATACCTCTGAAGGCGTCAAAAAATGACTGGGCTCTGACAACTCAAAGTAATTTGGAACCTGGAGGATATCTCGAATTGAACGAGATCGACGTCACCCCCACCTCTGACGACGGTACCTTGAAGTCAGACTCTGCGATCTCAAGGTCTGTCAAGTTGCTTCAGGAGGCAGGCGATATCATCGGAAGACCCTTCCTTGAGATCAGCTCTCTCAGGCACGTGCTTGTTGATACCGGATTCGAAGACGTCCACAGACAACTGTACAAATGGCCCACGAACTCTTGGCCCAAGCATGAGAGATACAAGGAGCTGGGCATCTGGAACCACGAGAATCTGGTTGCTGGATGGGAAGGCTTCTGCATGGCCCCATTCACAAGAGTTCATGGCTGGAGCAAGGAGGAGGTCATAATTTGCATGGCTGAGATCCGGAAAGAATTCAAGGACAGGTCGATCCATGCATACTTCAAAATGTAAGTTGACTACGGGATGTGGCTCTTGTGACCCTCAACAAACTCTAACCTCTCTAGTTGGTCGATCTATGGAAGAAAGCCTCTTGAATCCGCAACGACGGAGGCTGCGTGATTTCGGTTGGAGACACTAGTTGTCCTTGGCAATCTTCAGAGTGACTTGTCCGAAGAAAGACATTCACGTGATAGTTTCAAGTTCGCTTTCCACATTTTCCACATAACAATGTACAAGATTCTGATCATGTTCAAGAATCAAGCTCTGTACGAAAGCTACGTTGACTTCCCGCACGCATCACCCGAGTGAGACACCCACTGTTAGTGTCTTGCCTGGGCCTACACCCATCCACTAACACCACTTTCTGCACCCAAAACCACCAATTCGTCGCCCGCGATGGCCTCGCAGCCAGACGCGGGCGCGCTGCCTGCGCGACCTCAGAAAGGCCTCGCAGGCTCTCACCATGCCGTCAGCTCGCCAACGGACCCTTTCTTGACTCCTTCGCGCCCACGCGCGCCGACGCAGCGCCCAATGGCGCCCCTCCCAACCCGTCCTCGTGCCTCGCAGGGAAGCGAAGCACCCACCACCACTGCCGCCGCGGCACTACAACGCGCCAACGCGGCCCAATCCAAGTACGACGCAGTACACCGTCTCCTCGCCGCTGCGCTGGATAACATCGTCACCTCCTGCAACGAGGAGCTGAAGCCGTTCGCGCGGTCTGTTATCCAGAGCTTCACCTCCTACCTCTCCCCAGGTCCGGGCCGACCCAGACCCGAAGGGACACGTATGACCTACGCTAGTACGGCCGCCCAGGGCCGATCAGCAGATATGCCCCGGCCCATAAGTGGCCCACGCCAAGCAGCCTCGGGCCCGGATCTCCGGCTCCTAGCCCGCGTCGGAACCGAACGGCTCCCGAAAACCCGACTACACAACTCCTTCTCACTCAGACAGGCCATCTCGCAGGACCTCGGCCTGCCCCTGTCAGACATTGCGGACGTCAAACACACCGCCACAGGCCTCTCCATACGCCCCAGCTCGGAGGAAGTTAAGCAAAAGCTCCTCCAAAATAAACAACAACTACAGCGCTACCCACTAAGCGCCAGCTTCAGAGGATCAGACGGGCCCAGGCCCACGGATCAGAGGACCGCGGTACCTCCTCTCCCTATCCTCCACCTCCTCCACCTCCTCCATCAGAGCCAGAGCCCCAGCGCCCTAGTACCGCTGGCACCATCACAGTCAACCCAGAACCTGCCCAGTCTATCACTTCCAGCTCGTCTACAGCCGGGAGCGAAGCAGACTTGGACATGGGCGAGGCAGACGATGCCCCAGTGCCAGGCGAGCCTACCCAGACCCCTATAATGCTTTTCTCGCCCGTCAAAGTGCGGGGCATCGCGGCCCAGCATGGGCTGAACGGCGCCAAGTCACCTGCTAGGCCACCACGCTTTACCTTAACGCAGAACGAAGACGGCACTGTCTCCCCTATCCGAACGCCCCTAGGCGCCAGAATGAGGGCAGTGAAGTCCAAGACAGTTAACTACAACGTCCAGAATCATGCCGCGTTCTCGCAATTGGATGAAGAAGAGGCCTAGTGCCTCCCAGACCGTAGACCCTGAGCCAAATCTGTTAGTTGCCCAGTGCAATATTAATAGGGGGTCTGCGGCGAACACCAACCTTCTCCAGGCCTGCTGGGAGCATGATATCGATATCATACTTGCCCAGGAGCCCTGGACGATGGAGAAAAAGCAAGCTAAGCTTAACACGCACCCAGGATACGACGTTTTCAGCCCCGTGGACCACTGGCACGATGCTGACACCCGGCCACGGGTACTTACTTACGTCCGCAAACACCTGGAAGCGCAGCAACTACGCCTAACGCCAACCAGAGACATACTATGGATCCAAGTACGTGGGTATACCATAGTTAATGTCTACCGGCCTGGCGAGAGGGCCCATAACCCAACAACTACCGCGCTACTCAACTACTCACCCCCGGAGCATTCTCTAATTGCCGGGGACTTCAACTCCCGCCATGAGACCTGGGAGCCTGGAATTCAGTCAGAAAGAGCTGGCACTTCTATTTCCCAATGGGCACAGAATCATGGACTCACCTATATTGGAGAAGCTGGAAAAGTGACACGCGGGAATAAGAATGGGACAGGCCACGTGATTGACCTATCCTTCTCTAACATCCCGCTGGCCCGAGCTGAAGTGTGCGAGCAATTGCACGCTGGCTCTGACCATGAGGCCATTCTCACCACGCTACCTTGCCCCCAGCTCCCTAAGCCGGATCTCTGGAGCCGATCACGGGTACCGCAACACCTACTCGAACGCTTCGCTGAACTGGTGAGTCAGGGGCCGCTCCCCACCGTCTCAAGACAGGCCACGCCAGAGCAGCTAGACGAAGCTGCCGTCACTATTGTCGGCACCCTGAGGGCGGCTTTAGATGCCACAAGCACTGAAGGAGGCCAACATGGCCGCGGAGCACCCTGGTGGACGCCAGAATGCGCTGAAGCACGTGCTGGGCATCTTGAGGCCAGACGCCGCCAACGGACCGGCTGTCCCTCCTCCGGGTGCCCAAGCTGCTCGTACTGTAACCGCGCACGAGAAGCACAACTAGAATGGCTTAGCACTTCGAAAAGTGCTAAGCGCGCCTACTGGGCGGAGAAGATAGCTGCCGCAGAGTCCGCGGAAGCCCTATTCTCAATCACCAAGTGGCGCAACTCCAACCTGGCCATCAAAGAACCTCCCCTGGAGGTTAATGGCGAAAGGATAGCGGATATCCCGGGTAAGATGAATGCCTTCCGGCGCGTACTGCTAGAACGCTTCACCCCAGACGACGATATAGAAGACCCAGACTCGGTACCGTTTGTTGCGCGCCAGATCCTACCCTGGCGGACCACGGTTACCTTAGCTGAGGCCACACAGTACACGCTCACGCGGAGCACGTCTCCAGGGTCGGACAAAATCACTACGAAATTGTTAGCTGCCGTCTGGGGACACATTCAAGAGCCTGTCAGAGCCCTGTTCGAGGCCTGCCTCACCTGCGGTCACCACCCCACCCCTTTCAAACAAGCGGAAATAGTGATCATTCGGAAGGCTAGTAAGCGGAAGCTCTCTGACCCCAGCTCGTATAGGCCTATCTCGCTCCTCTCGTGCCTAGGCAAGGGCCTTGAGCGCATCTTTGCGCGGCGCACCGCATACCGTATAGTGCATAATACGGTTGTTAACCCGCAACAATTTGGCGCACTCCCCGGCCGGAGTGCTGTCGACCTGACCTCCTGTGCAGCGCACGATATAGAGGAAGCACTAGAAAGCGGCCTCACTGCGACGATAGTCACAATGGACGCTAAGGGGGCCTTTGACGCCACACTTCGAAATAGACTTATACTCCGGCTTCGCCAACAGGGCTGGCCAGAGGTATTTATCCGCTTTGTAAGGTCCTTTATGACCCAACGCGCGGCTATTATCAGAATGGACAAGAGACTCTCGGAGGGCTTTCCCCTACGCTGCGGCCTCCCACAGGGCTCCCCTGCGTCCCCAGTCCTCTATATCCTCTACCTAGCAGACGCGCTCCTAGATAACCCTAGGTGCCGCTTCGGGTATGCCGATGATATAGGACTCCTCGTGATCTCTCCTACGCTAGAAGAGAACGCTCGGATACTAGGTAGCGAAGTCAGCTCTATGCTTAAATGGGGTGCTGAAAACAAAGTTACCTTTGATCCAGCTAAGTGTGAAGCGGTACACTTTACGCGTAAACACCGCAAGAATAGGCCAAGCGAATGGCCTGCTATCTATGCTACTGGGCTTACAATTACGCCCGTAGCTCCAACGAAAGCTGTGCGCTGGCTAGGCGTCTGGTTCGATCGTACGCTTTCCTTCCGAACCCACGTTGGCCACCGGGCCGCCGCCGCGAGGAGGGTCGCCGATTTCCTTCGTGGCCTTAGTGCTATTCTCAAGGGCTTGCCGCCGCGACAAGCCCGACTTGCTATAACGGCCTGTGTACTGCCGTCAGTTCTGTACGGATCTGAAGTATGGTTCTCGGGCCGTACTAAGCCGGCTGCGCTCACGCAACTCTCGAGGATGTGCGCCACCCTCCGCAACCCCACCGTGAACACTGGCCAGAAGGGTCACTTTACTACCATTAATAAGACCATTGTCGCTGCTGCCCGGGCCGTGCTCCCGGTCTGGCGTACTACGCCCACGGACATCCTGCTCAAGGAGTCAGGTCTTCCCGCTGCGGTCACCGCGCTGGAAGGGGCCAGACTACGCTTTGCCGCGAGGCTACGACGACTCGACCCTCAACACCCGCTGGTCCCCAGGCTGGAGGAACGCACCCCTGGACGCTCTGGACGAGACACACGTCTCCAGCGAACCTACGCGTTACTACCCCCATGCCCTCGGCCGGTTCTAGTCCTCCCGAATCCCCCCGCACCCCAGCGAGACACTAAAGAAGAAGCCGCTGCTGCATTTCTGCAGATGATAAAAGCGCTCCCGCGATCCGACCTAGTGATCTACTCCGATGGGTCCATGCTGTTTGAAGGCGCTGTGGGCTACGGATATGTGATATACCGTGGGCCCAAGGCCATCGCGGAAGGCCGTGGCCGCCTCGGCGAATACACAGAAGTCTTTGATGCCGAGGCCGAGGGGGCCCGTCAGGGCCTACGGCGAGCACTGCACCTAGCTGCCACCTCCCCCACTACAATCCATCTTTGCCTCGATAATACTGGCGTTCTCAACTTCATCTCGGGTTTCGGACGATCTCCCGCCAGCTCGCAGGCTGCTATGCTTGAGATACTCGACGCCCAGCGGGCAAGGGATATAAAATGCCACTGGTCGCCCGGACATACCGGGATCCCTGGAAACGAATTAGCTGATAAGCTTGCTAAAGAAGGAGCCGCTCTCCTACTGCCTGACCCTCCACCGCCAGCATCATACGCTGGGATAGCGAAGATGGCCCGCGCCAGAGCCCGTGGCTACCATTCACGATGGTGGCATACTTCGAAGCAAAAGCTCAAACCAGGCTATAAGAAAACTGACGCTGCCCTCCGTTGCCCTCCGGAATTGGACCTACGGCGTCCTCTTTTGCACCACCTCCTCGCTGCTCGTTCTGGCCATGGCCATTTCCACGCCTACCACAGGCGCTTTCAGCACGACGGAGACTTCAAATGTAACTGCGGGCGGAAATTATCGCCTACCCATCCAGTATATTGCACGAAGAACCGCCGTACCTCGGCGCTATGGCCGATTACCGGGACCGTGGACGATCCGGGACCACTACCGCCCCCGATAGGCCTGGCCGAAGCCTATTGGTACGCCCTGGTCAGAGACCCGGGTGCCTTTGAGAAGTTCGAGCGTGTGACGCGCTACTATGAGGCTCACTCTCTGCAAAGATAGCGAGCCCGAGATCCCGCGCCTCACAACTCTCTCACACACCCACCGACGCCTTGAGGCCCCGGCCTTACCACACCCCTCTCTCTTCCTTCCTCCTTTATCTTCTATATAAGAAAATATAAGAAAACAGAAAAATGCTCGCGTAGGCAAATATGCCTCCGAGGGCCGGTTACTTGTTGCGGCAACGCCGTCTGTGGACGGCGTAGGGCTGCTAGAGACCCATTCGCTTCTGCCGAGTCAGGGACCCCCTGCTGGCGTGCTTTTTGGAACTGAACGGACCCTGGGGATTAGATACTAAACTCCACTGCTCTAGGCACGAGAAGAAAAGTGTACATTATAGACTGCCTGACTTGTCGTACGCTATAATGGCGGCACGGCACATCATATGCCCAAAGGGCGCTCTGGTTGATCGGAGCTTAGTTACATAGATAGCTGGGCACCTGTCCCTGATGATGTAAAACACCACTACTACTACTACTACTACTACGAAAGCTACGCAACTACTATGCCAGAAATGGACAAGCGGCCGGCGTGGTGTAGTGGCATACACCTGGCAAGGCCTCTGGAGCCCAGAGGTCGCTGGTTCGATTCCAGCCGCCGGCAACTGCTTTAACTACCTGTGGGAAGGGTAGGGCAGAGCCCAATGCGGGGCCTAGGACCCTTTCCGGGCCCTCCGACCAAGAAAAAGTGGATATGCGGCGAGTACACGTCGTCAACCAAGTACTGGGGCAGGAATGGTCTTGTACAAATCAGAACATGTACGAGGGGCCTGTTTCGGCAGGCCGCCCTCTCCAGACATATCCGGCCTTAAGCCGCAAAATTCAAGAATGGAACTGGGGCACCAGCGGGAACCAGGGACAGATAGAACGCATAGTAGCCATAAGGCACGATTTGGAGGACGATTTGAACTGTATCTAGCAATAGTTATAGGGCGACGGCTCTCCACGCCATATACCCTTCGGGAGGTCGGCCGCAAGGGCGGCTGCGCCCTTGCCGCCACGGCGTTAAATATATAACACACACACACAAATGGACAAGCGGGTGTGGCCTCATGTACATGATTTGTTACCGTACAGCTTTCTTCATATACGAGTATACAACTCGAGCTCTCATCTTTCGTCGTTAAGATGATCTCTCAAATCTTTTCGATATACCATACGAGCCAAGCTAAACCAAAATTTGTGACGGGAAGCCAGTAAGGCATATCGGCTCGCATTTGGCTCCAGTACCCAGAAGACTTCAAAAAGCATCCGAGGAAAAGCGCAAAGATGCTCCCTCGAGTTTGCGGTATCGCCAGCAGAAAGCCCTCTGTGACCATCAGCGCTCCGATGTATTGCATGTGTAGCTTGATTGTGCGTTGATCAGTGAAAGGGTAGAGTGGGTGGAGATATGGCGCCGTTTTCTGAGACTTTCGGTAGATTCTTTCATGAAGCGTCTTGAATGGCCAAGGACCGAGCCTAGGAATACCGCCGACGAAGTATTCGAACGCGAGAATGATGCGAGGGATGGCGAGTAGAATGGAGGCCATGATGGTGTTATTGCGGTAAGGCGGAGCCTGGAGGCTGAAGGCTTCACTTAGACATGGACAGATGCAGCTTCTGAATCAAAACATGCGATTAGGATTCAGGGAATATCTCAGAGGCGGGGTGCGTATGATTGTTTCCGGGGCGTCCGGGGAAATGGTTGTGTTCAAAGATGGTTCAACGTCGATGATGTAATGGTGGCGCTCACCACATCAGTTGTGAGACATGACTGCACGTGAGTGCAACAGTCCAGTTCCCAAAGCATGAACACAAGCACCAGAACCTATGAAATCTTTCGTAGTAGGCAGTGTTCTTATGCGCTAGATAATCCGAGTCGATTTATGACGGTATCATGGTATGGCCGTTCAAACGTTTAAAGATTAAGTACTTTGCACGTCCGCAATTCCCGCCATTGTTTCTTTAGCTCCCCGAGCTAATATCGCAGAGTCTTGTCCTCCAAGAAGAAAGCAGACGCCTAGCTCATTAATCGCCCAATCATGTAGCTCATGGTTGTTGTAAATACCGGCCAAGCCCATGATCTTGCCGTGCTTTTTGCATGCCCGGCTTACGGTCTCCATAGCTTCCCGGAAGACTGAACTTTTAAACTGGCTCGGCGCACCCAACTCAATAGCGAGGTCATTCGATCCGACAAGAAGCACGTCGGCGCCTTCAACAGAAGCAATCTCGTCGACGTTTTCAATACTCTCCTTCGTCTCAATCATCAGGAACACAGTTGAGCCGTTGGCGTTGGTCTCCGAGATTATGGTGTCTTGTGGCACGGCCTTCAACGAGAAGACGGGTAATTGGCCAGTCATGGACCTCTTTCCCTGAGGCGGATATTTACATATCGAGACAGCAGCCATAGCATCGTCTGCCCGCAAGTTGTCAGTGTTCCTTGCCCAAAGGGCGAAGTCTGGATTCCGGGCCGGAATCTATGGGCACCTACCGCGACCATGAATATGAGGGAAGACAACCCCCATTGCTCCACCATCGAGAACCTTTTGAACGAAACCGTTACCGCATTGGTAAGGAACTCTGACGAAAGGTGTCACGCCCAGCTGAAGACCAACAATGCAGTGCTGACTGGCATCATGAATGGACAACGTCGAATGCTCGAGATCAATGAAAAGAGCATCAAAACCTCCGTTTGCCGCCATATGGACAATCTGTGTGTTCGCGACAAGGCGAATGCCCATTGCCTAAGTCGTTATGTCAGTACCTTATGAGGAGTCACACTATGATTCTCTTTTACATTAGAAACTTACCGTACATAGCTTTCCCGATGCGCTCAGTCGAGTCAAGCTGTTGGATAGGAGAGAAGCCATTTTGCATATACGAAAAGACAGCTAATTTGACAACGTGCTGTACTTGGAATTCGAATTTAATCGTGCAGTATTTTCGAGATATCTACCTTAGTATTCATGGCTTCCATGGGCCGAGGATGGTGTCAGCTTACTTGTTGATGGTTCGGCTCCTCTTCCCGCCAATCTGAGCGCCTCGGCCAGTCTTCCCGAGGGCGTGCAAGTGCCAAGTGGAGACTCGGTAGCCCGCGCCGCCGCCAGCTCGGCGATGGATGCCAGTTAGCCGGAGCATTTGGACCTTCCATTTTTTCGCCAGCACTTGAGCAGTAAATCCGAAAGAGTGCTCAAAAAATTCGAATGCTTTGCTTTCCCAAAGTCTCTAGCCTTTCTTCATTCCAGCTTTGTCACAATGTTTGGACACGTACAGCCCGGTCCTCCGGACCCTATGTTAACTCTCAAAAGGGATGCAGATAACGACACAAGCCCAGAAAAGGTCGATTTGGGTGTTGGTATCTACCGTAGCGAAGAGGGCAGTTACCAAGAGTTGGATGTTGTCAGACAGGTATTATCGAAACTTCTTCTCTAGTGACAAAAAAGGTCAAGGTTGGAGCAATTGCTAAACATGACGCAGGCAAAAAGAAAACTCGACGAGCTAGACATAGGACATGATGTAAGAGTCCAGTAAAGACCTCTTTAGAAAGTAGGCTGAGACCTTTGTCTAGTATGAGTTGACGATAGGAGATGCGGATTTTCTCCGACTTGCCGCCGAAGTCATGTTTGGCGAGCACAGCGACGCCCTTCAAACTGGCAGAGTATGTGGTTATCATGATAATCTCATGAGATTTCAATAATCTTTGAAGAGATTCAAATAACTTGCCAAGTCAAAGACACTAAGCTTAGTAATCCAGGTTTCTTCAGTTCAGACTATCTCTGGAACAGGGGCCAACTCTTTGGGAGCGCTGTTCATCTCGAAAGTCATGGAACCGAAGCCCAAAGTCTACATTGGAGTTCCCACTTGGGGAAACCACCTTCCAATTTTCCAAGACGTCGGCCTGGAAACCGCCACATACCCCTATCTCGATGCGTCAAAACACGCTGTCAACTTTACCGCCCTTCTCGATACTGTCCGATCGGCCGCGCAAGGCAGCGTTTTCGTGTTGCAAGGATGCTGCCATAACCCTACTGGTGTTGATCTGAGCCCTAGTCAATGGAAAGAACTGGCTAGTGAGATGAAGTATTACGGACACTTGCCATTCTTTGACACAGCGTACCAGGGTCTTGGTGACGGGCTTGACGAAGATGCCGCAGGTGTACGCGTATTTACAATAGCAGGTATTGAGATGCTGGTTTGTCAGTCATTCTCAAAAAACTTTGCGTTGTATGGGGAGCGATGTGGCGCCCTTCATTTTGTCGGCAACTCGCAGAAGGTGGTTGCGAATGTTCAAGATAGACTTCGAAGCTTGATAAGGCACACGTACTCATCAGCCCCGGCCTACGGTAGCCGTCTTGTCAAGATCGTACTTAATGATACTGATTTACGGAAGGAGTGGTGAGTCGGAGTTCATTGACTTTCCATCACCCATCTGCTTACAACGGGGTTTAGGAATTTAGAGATTGATGGCATGAGAACTCGTCTGAAGAGAAACCGCCAAACCCTGCACGACGAGCTCGCGCTAACCCTCAAGGCATGTTGTTCCGAAAACAGGCATGTGTACTAGGATTGACTTGAAGTAGACACCCGGAGACTGGTCATATCTGACGAAAGAGAAAGGATTGTTCTCGTCAGTAGTTATATGCTCTCACTGATGAATACGTCGCTAATCTCACATGCAGGTGTCTCGCACTTTCACCATCTCAGTGCAGGGAGCTCGTCGAGACGTATCATGTTCATCTGCCAGGATCTGGAAGGATCAATGTCGCTGGCTTGAGCGAGGAAAATGTGAAGCGCGCAGCACAGGCCATTGACAAAGTCATCAGGCAACATGTGAATGGGAGGCTCTGAGTCCGCCATTTAAGTCAGAGAGGTTCTAGAGCTATGGACGGCTGTACCACTTGATGCAATATTCTGTCCTTCCTATTTATCATTATAGGTATCAACAATAACATACGAGTACAGCAGATTCAAATCCCTCGGAAGTTGGAAATCTACGGAAGCTCAACTTCAATCAGACTCTCAACACCCTTGCCACCACCCCAAATCTTGACGATCTTCAGCCCAGCAATCTTCTCCAACAAGTGATACCAATCGCCCTCAGTGCGCTCCTTAGAGCAGAAAAGCGTCAGCATGACCATGTTGAGTGCAGACGTCTCCCACCAAGCTCCAGTAGAGGGGATCACGTTCTCGTTGATCAACAACTTGCTGTATCCGGGCTTCATAGCAGCCTTGATCTGTTTGAGGATCGTCTCGCAGACATCATCAGGCCAGTCATGCAGACATGAGTGCATGTAGTAGGCGCGGGCTCCTTTCACGGGCTGTTCTGTCAGGAAATCATGGCCCATGGGCGTGATTGCCGGTGTGAGCTCCTGGATTTGACCAATGAAGACTGGAAGATCCTGAAGGATGAGCTTTCCCGGCGCCTTGGGGTAGTAGGAGTGAAACTCAGCCAAGTCGTGGCCGATGCTGCCGCCAATATCCACCAAGAATGGCGCGTCGGCGTCCGTGTTGGCGCCTTCGATGAGCCTCTCCTTCACGGGGAAGAAGCCGGGGGCCATCCATGGATGACGGCCCTGGCGGTAGCCGGACATGTGGTGGTTGAAGTGAGTGCCGTCTAAGATGATACATGTCAATGCATATCCATCACTAAAGCGTGTTGGTAATTTTACTCACAGCCAAGATCTTGCTGCCATGCAAACATATCCTTATCAGTGTTGTATGCATACATCATAGGGGTGTCCTTGTCATCAGTGGGGTTCTCGAAGCCCCTCTTGCGAGAGTACTCATGGAATCTCAAGGGCCCGGCGCCAGTGCAAGATGTCCTAGGGGCGACAAGAACTTAGCAAATACATTGACAAAGAACAGCTCTACTTCTCAGTTTGCTAGAACAAATAGGCCAAAGATGAGGCAGAGAATGCAACTCACATTGCGATGTATCCATCCCCAATCATAAGGAGGCTCAAGGACTTTGAGAAGTTGGTAGGCTGCTACTCATCAAGGCTTGTCTCCTTGATGTAGCCCATGGCACCAAGATGGCGCATGAGGCGACCTTCATAATAAAATGAGTCATGTGAGAAGTAGCAGCAGGAGAGTGCATTACTTACTAAGGAGAGCCGGGTCAACACCAAGAGCATCAGCAAGCTCCTTTACCGTCTAAGGCCTATCGCCGTTTTTGGCCATAAGCTTCCACAGACCTGTATCAACGCCAAGATTGATACCGGCAATAGCGCCAGTCTTTGATGGAAGTTAGTTACAAACAACATGCATGACAGTTGACCAGATAGGAGCTTACCTGTGCCCAGCAGTGCTTGATCATGGTCTCTCTTGGAGCCTCCAGAGCTTGGACTATCGAACGAGCCTTGAGAAGCAGCTCGTGCCGCGCTTGATGGTCATCGACAGACAAGGAGCCAATGTTATCGTTGAGATCCTTGAGCAGACCAGGGACCGCTCCCAGGTCGTTCGGACGGGTGGCGATCGTTGCATCGACAACGGCACCCCCTTTGGTGCCGTTGGTACCGTTCATGCCGTGTGTGGAAGACATTGTTGGATAGAAGAACAGATGGGAAGTGCAGGGAATGGCTAAAGAGTAAAAGCTCGGCCGTTGGCTGGCATGGCACTTCCAGGACATGTACTTATAACATGCTGCCTAGTCATTTGGGCGGGGGTTCTGCCAGAGTCAGGGGGAGCAACGGACACAGTAAAACATAAATATTTCCCACTTTCTGCAGGTCATTCTCTTCAAGACTCCAACAACTACTTTCAATGTAATTGTAGAAAGACTCAGGGGGAGAAAAGGGCGGCGGAACGGGCGCTAGTCTCTCAAATGCAGAACTCGGAGAATACATGTCCAGTCTCAAGCCACTCATTCACCCGCTGAAGACACTTGGCGCAGCCAGTCAGGGTTTCTCTCCTGCCTCCATATCATGTTCTTTGTCACTGTGACAGACTTTCCAAGCGCAATCTCGCAAGAGGCCGACTCGCTGGTACAGTACCCTGGCGCAAGAGACCGGGGCCCCGAGCCACCGACCCCACCGGGGGAACATTCCGGACCAGGTATACTCTGGGCGAAATGTTTGTTGGTTTGTTATCCGTATGCACCAACGCAACTTTAGTTGGAACCCGAGTTGCGCCATATCAGCACCCTAGTAGCTGTGTGATTCAATACGCATATGCGTACGTTGAGTCGGCGCCGATCGACCCGTGTCCAGCGGTTGGTTTTATTTTGCATATGAGAGTCACCACTCCCAGTCCAAGCCCGCATTTTTAAAACACAAGGAATAGACCTGACTTTGCACGCCACCATCTCAGCTTCTCGAGGTAAGAGTTTTCATTCTTGGCTGTTGGTGCCCAGCCAGGGTCTTCACATAAACGACGCAGCCTCACACCACCAAACACCCCATATTCCGCCTTCATCCGCCGACTTGAGGTCCCATCTGTAGTTTCTGGGCCGAACCCATGGCCAAGACTGCTTCCCAGTGCTAACGTAATGAGACCTGCGTCTAATAAAGAGATTGTATCCAGCTTCGGATATGATCTCCAGTTACAGTGCGACTAGGTATCTAGGGCATGGAAGCCACGCAGCCCACGCCCAACCACTGCCGCTGTCCCAGCAGAAGCTCAAGCGGCAGTCTCCGTAGAAGTATACAAAGTATTGATTTACAGGAAGGTGATTCCTCATGCACGCCGTAACTCTGGTCAAGCCCCCCTGACATGACCTGCTTGTAGTTGCAGGGGCAATTAGTCTTTTGCGTCTTCGGCGTTGCAACTTCTCCGTTGGCTGACCTTTTGTTTCGTCAACGGAGCCCGAGTCTTCAGGGGTGGCCCGGGTGGGATGTGGGATTTGATCGAAAACGGCGATGCTACAGAACAGTAGTTAATATCGAGCGATACTTTTGACATGAGAGTTCATACTTCTTTCTGAACTGGAGTCTAAGCACGGGTTGAATGCGCCTCCGACCAGCGGCCCGACACGCGACAACCTCTGAGAATCCTGATACCTGCGCAAGAGCTTGGGCAAGATCTGCACTGCTGCAGTTCTTCGGCCATTTGACCCCGGATTCTGGGTTGTCGTTGAAGAAATGTCCTGCAAGCATGCAGGCAGTCGGGCCGCAGCTTGGTTTGCATTTATTCCGCAGCATCCTGGCCATGAATACATTTGCCCTAGTGCCTGAGCCATAGCTGAGTGCGCGCAAAATATCAACAAATTGCCTCCTATAAATCCAGAATGTCAGCTTCGCCAGTGGAAGGATCAGATGAGTGGAAGGCTCAGGACAAAGGGCCAACCATTGTTATTGTCTGCTGGGTCGTCACGGCCATCAGCACTTGCTTCGTTGTTGGCCGTGTCTATGTAAGGGGGAAGATAATGAAGAAGTTCCAGAGTGATGATTGGTTCATCATTCTAGGTCAGGTATGTTTCTCACTTGAAGAGGTTCTGTCGAGAAGTCGCCTTCCTTTTCAATCATGCTGAGCCATAAACTTATTCTAACGTGTGAATACGTTCAGTTCTGCGGCTACATCTCAACGGCTCTATCTACGATCGCGGTGACCTACGGCAACGGGAGACACATGTCCATCTTATCGACCGAGCAGCAGGAGGGTGCCATCCTCTGGACTACAGCCGCCTTCTGCCCAGGAGTAATATCCTTTGGTCTCCCTAAATTAGCTGTTGTCTCTTTGTTAGTTCGGTTGATGAACCCCGACAGGTATCACAAGTGGTTCTGATGGGGAATGGGAGTCTGGTGCCAATTGACGTTATTCGTAACGGCTGGCCTCCTTCTTGGGCGTTGTACGCCGGCCAGGTCGTTGTGGGACTTCTCTGTTAAAGGAACATGGTTTGACGTCAATATACTGGTGGCATATTGCTGTTGGTATCACAGGCGTGATAAATTTCCTCATGAGGGTGTATCTTCGGCAACAATCACGTCGATGTCCGTGATAATTGCTGTTGTTGTTCTTGTTACTTCCTATTTACATTGTGGGCAGGGGTCGGTCGAAGTAGGTGGTGACGGCCTGGGTGGTTGCCCCACCTTAACCGGCCGTGGTGACTAAGCCAGTTGTCCCACTTCGCCCAGGGCAGGCGCCAGCCAGCCCACGATACCTGCCCATTGCTCCTTATCAGCCTTGCTGTTCCGACAATTGCATTTACGCAGGATGTAAGAAGCAGTATTTTACACAATCAGGCTTTTCTACCTTTTACTGACACTGTTCCGCGGCATAGCTTTCTCAGCTTTCGTCGATGTTTATCTTGCTGTTTATCCGGCAATAATTCTGTTCGGCCTCCAAATGGCCACCAGAAAGAAGATCGCACTTTCATGTGCGCTAGGTATTGGTTCTATGTAAGGCTTCTCCCTTTTTGAGCAATTACTGGCTCGAATGACTCTTGCGACTAACAACTTGGTAGTTCTGGTATAGTTGCTATCTACAAGACGACCCGTATACCATCTCTTGGAAGCAAAGATTTCTCGTGTATGATCCTCTTATGGCATCTTCGGTACTGGATAGATTGAGGCTGACTATCTTCTCTACTTAGATGATACATCTGATCTCGTGATCTGGACAGTGTAAGTCCAATGTCTCTTTCGCACATTGTCTGGTTAGCTTGATGAAATCGGTCCTGGTTCTTGTTGCCCTCTGCTCACTGAATTCGATCCATGTTAGCGTCGAGGGTAGCACAATCATAATCGCTAGCTCGATCCCCGTTATGCAGCCTCTTCTCGAGCTTATCCTGCGGCGCAATCCCTTCAGCTCTACCAAGGACTCCAAGCAAACACTCAAATATTATGAGGACTACAGCTCCCAGAGCAAGTCAAAACCGCGTAGCGGGGGCGGTATTGAGCTTGGACAGCGCAAGCCAAAGGCCAAGCCCAAAGATGATCTAGGCATCACCATCGTCGAGGACGAAAGCCAGGAAAATATCCTCACGCCGGCGACTGACTCAATCCAAGATTCACGCCTGTCCGAAGCGAAATGCTTCAGCACCCCGCTGACGGAAAAATTATCCGGACCGACTTCGTGAGCATTACGTACAAGGAACAAGGACCAGTCCGCGATACTTCCGCTTCGAGCCGATGGAGAGCCATTTGAGAAACCGATGCGAGGATTCAAACTCGAGGTCTGATAATATAGTAGAGGATACAAGGGGGAAGTTGCGTATAAGACTCATGTGAGGCGCAAGCAAGCATTCATGCTGACCATGAATAAGCACGGCAATTACAAGAAAGTGTACTTCATTGGTTCTTTTTGGAGGAGCAGCCTTAGAAGAGAATGCGTCATCACATCAACTGGCTTCCTCTGACATAATAACTGCGCGCTGCACCGAAACACTACACTAGACTTTGATTGTTGGATCTATTTCATGAAATTACTGAGTACGTGACGTTGTCTCCAACTCTGCATCATACTACTTTGTCCACACCTTTGGGCAAAGGTGGAAGAGCCACTTGGGAACGGGCCCTTGGTCACCACATACCGATGTCAAATGAATCGAAAACTGATACAGTATCAATGAATTATGAGTAATGGCCGGCGTGCATCATCTTTTGCCTTCCTCTGTGACAGACTTTTGGCTTGCCAACCAGTCGGCTTCGCTCGGCGGGGTTGCGCCACAACTCGCCGAGGCTACCGTTTCTGAACAAGACATTGGAAGTCCCCGCGGTGTGTTGCTACTGGAGTGAGATTTATCTCCTCATGGCTAGCTGGGCCACTGGAGTCGGGTCTCAGAAGGGAGTGAGGGGCAATCGCAAGTTCGTAACGTCGGATCACGGCAGACCGTTTTCGTCGAAAGCAAGCACAAAGCGGTGCGGGCAAACCGAGCTTGCGTTAGGTGATTCGTACAGAAACGTTCCTTGTGTCTCTGATTTCCGCTACCCTTACTCGCCTTGTCTCACCCATGCCCGGATTTGATGGTTCAGGAAGCGCGGCAAAGTGGGGCCGTCCCGGCGGTGGCCCTGAGAGAACAAGCGGCCCGGAAACCGGGATCTCACCGGAGCTAGATTTGGGGCAAACCCACTAGGTAAGGTACCTAAGTTCGATTGTAGGCGATTGTTGGTTTAAGTTGCCAACGGCTTTCAAATCCCAACCTCACTTGGATAGAAGAAATTGAAAATGATTTCTGTTTGTCTACAGGAGCCATATGGTTCACCAATCAGTCGAGCAATTCGTCTTCAGCTCAGTGTACTCAGTAACGCCAAAATCTCACTGCCGTGAACCCTGCAAATAATTCAGGAAGAACCTTCCAGAACAAATTCGGGAAGTTCACTGGTGGAATTGAGATCAAACAAACGGGCCACCAAAGCGAAGGCATTCGTCTAGAATCCTGCGTTGACTAAGTAAGTAGGTAGGTGAGTGCAAGCCATAATGCGTACCTTTGAGCCTCCTCTTGGAGGATAGCAATCAAATCAAGGATGTTCGTACGTCCGTACTCATCAAAACATCGGAAAGTGCTGGTCTAGAACGGTTACGCAGCGACTAGCACGCCCTTCGGGTTCTCCCAGAAGCTAGTTCCCGTTTCGAAGGGCCGAAGCCTGTCAACAAGCTGACCGGCCCACGTGCTGCCCCGGGTCTAGCTCGCCGCATTGGTCTCAGCGCACCCAATCTGCATAGACACGACAGATTAGAACTGCAGCCAGATGGTTTAGCGTGAATGATCAGGATAAAGCGTCTCAGTGGACGTGCCAATGTGCTGCGATGTGGCGCGGATCGCACAGACTGGTGCCATAGGCACCAAACCGGCCCGTCATATCGGCTGGACGGGTACGGACGAAACGGAGTGCGCGAAACGTATACGCGGAGTTTGGCTGTCTTTGGACCCTTTACTGCCTGCAGGAAGGCTCATCGTGGCACCAAACCCAGGCTTGTAAAGGTTCAGCGAATCTTCTGTTTCGTATGCAGAATTCCACGGGCCGTTGTCTTTTCGGCTTCCCGAACTCGAGCCCTATCAAGGAAGGGATGCAAATGTGAGGCATCCGAGATGACATGCTTTACCGGCGCTCTTTGAAACGAATTCGGCGAGTGGGGCAAGGATGACAGATCTTAAGGCAGACGGTGACACGGGTGATCTATTGCATCCAAGACAATACTCCATGTTGCAGGGGAAACAGCATGTTAGCCGACCAAGACACTCATCTCAGACCCCTGGTGAAATGAATATGCAGAACCCGCTTACATGGTAATCTTCGCTCAATCGATATTCTCCGTCGATTGCGGCTGGTATGGGCATTGCTTGTTCAGGTGTTCATGCAAGCCATGTCCATATCGTTGCGCATCTCTTTGGATGGGGGCTGCCTTGCGTACATGCAGTGCTTCCACGCATGTGCAAGAGGGTCGGCCGATGGGCGCGACGTTCAAGGATAAAGTTGGAGCACTTCCGAATCCGGATGATGGATTCGGTATCGTACGTATGTTTAGTTCGAAATCGGACAACGGAAGTAGGGTTAGTATGATTCTGATCTCACGCTAGGAGTCAGTTTGTCTCAAATAGCCTTCGCAGGCATTCAGCTCCCTTCACATCCTCTTTTATAATTCCAGACACCCACTTTCTGTACAGGGTTCAACAGCGTGTTTGAGGATGTGACGATGGATGATGGCTCACTTTCCGACCCCAAAGGCGGTAACAATCATAGTACGTCGGATATCGCATCCTGGATCTCGAAACCTCAATGTCGAAACATGGCCGCTAACCTTACCTGCTACGAACTTAGACGACAGGATGGGTTACCATATTGACCGCCGGCGCAGTACTAGCTGCCTCCCTCCATCTCCGAATCAACATTCAGGGGAGAAAACTGCAGATTAGCGATTACTTCCTATGCCTAGCATGGTGCTCTGCAGTCGTAACTGCGTCATTCGATATCCAATTCACGGTGATGGGCGCTTTGCATCAAAACATCAAAATCAATCTCGATGGATTCGATGGAAACGAAGACGAAGTTATGTTGGTTATGAGGGTAAGAGCAAGCACGTACTTCATCACTTTCATCGTGCTGACTCTACATGCCTAAAAGCTATTTTGGGCCAGCAGCATACCATTTTTTACAACTTTCTACCTCTGCAAAGGAGCTCTTCTCGCTGTTTACGTTCAGATATTCCCCATTTTTATGTATTATCGACGCATGATGCTGTGGACGGCTATAGTATATATTGCGCTGGCGTACTTGGTCAGCATTATTCTGCTTTTCACTGTTTGCATACCCCTGAGTAAGAACTGGTGAGTTCACCCGATGGCGACGGACACTTTTTCCACGCGTAGACACTGACTTGGGCTTTTGGGCAGGTCTGTCGAAGATCGGGTTGTGGGAACAGAGAATGTCATGTGCTCGGCTTCATCTCCCGCCATTGTCTTCCAAGTCGGCTGGGCGTTGCATTTCTTTGGAGACATCTTGAGTGAGGAAGCTTCTTGGCCTTACAACTCGAAAAATTACTGACCTCTTGCGAAGTTTTCTGTCTCCCGTGGCTCATCTTGCCTGATTTGAAGATCAAGAGAGCTCTCAAAATTGGCGTTTACTGGACCTTTGGTCTCGGCATCATCAATATGACCTTTTCTCTCGTCCGCTTCATCACCATTCAGACTGCATCAGTCGATGCATTGCCTTTCGGTTTAGTCGGTGAGTTCTTGAGCATGACTCAGTAAACTCTGATGGATGTATGCTGATACAAGATGGTCCGCAGAACTTTGGAGCGAGCTGGACGTCAACATCGGTCTTTTAGTTGCGACATTACCATGCCTCAGACCGTACTTCCGATCGAACCGAAGAGCTGGCTATTCGGACAAGTCGAACGGTTACAACTACAAATCAACCGTGAAAACGCTGCAAATAACACGCATAAGCAGATTCGATGTCGTCAGCGAGCCAGCATACGACCTCAATGTCGACCTTGAGCATGTGGCGGCTTGCTCAACCACTACCCAATCACATAAGTCTAGCGAGACTGTGTAGAGCCCTGGAGATTTAGAGACTTAGAGCAAAGTGTGATGATACCCCAGTGCCACCCAAGAGTAGGCCAGTAATATCACACCATCGAGGTGCTACCATATGTAATTAATGTATTGTCTTCATTCATGACATATATCTATCGTATTAAATATGCAAATTTAGCTTACATGCTCCTTCTCTTCACTCCTAGGTGTTCTAACGAAGCAAGCACATATGAAAGCGGCTGTCAGAGCAGTCGCCAGGCTCAACCACCAGATGTCAGTGACATCAATTCCAGGGCGCCACTTGGTTGGTTTGTGGTATTTCCACCAAAAGTGTCTCCTAAAGCTGCGAGCACAGCAGTGGAAAGATTTTGTGCAGTGATAACCAAACTCCCTGCAGCACCTTGATACGATCTGGACACATTCGATATAATGAACACGGAGACAGCTGCGAACGACATATCTGGCCCAAAGGTGCTTATGATAAAGCAGGGAAATGAGAGCGCCTAATAGAGCGTGCCCGCTTGTTGAGGTAATAACAAAGCAGGGCCTGTGGCAAATGCAATCATGCTTCCTATCATGATCAAGTGTCCTAGTACCACGTGAAGTGTCCTAGAAACAACCCACGACGCAATAGTTCCGCTTATACCGATGGGAAGAAGATAGCAGGCGACAATGATGGGTGACTTTTGATGAATGGTAAGCATAAAGCGTACCGCATAGAACTACCAGGCCCCTGCATAAGCGCCATATCCTAGAAAGTAGGACAGAATCAATGGAAAGAATCCGGGAGTCGTCCAAAGGCGATTATCTATCAGCGGCCGCCGTACTCGGCTCTCTATCAGACCGAAGCTGGCTAAACAGCCAACTCCAACGATGACGAGGGCGTAGGTGTAAGGAGTCCAGTGCGTAGGCGACCCTTGGGTGAGACCAAAGATAAGTAGTCCGCATCCAAGAATTGCTGCAGCAGCACCGACGTAGTCAAAGTCCTTCAAAGACAATGCTTCTACGGGAAGAGCAGGGATGCACCAGAAAGCCGCGACCAGACATGCGAGAGACAGAACGCTTGTTGATCCAAATAACCAAGGCAAATGTGAACTTAACGCACCGCCCTGCATGACTCCAATGGCAAACCCGAGTGGAATCTTGGCACCCATCAGAGAAAACACTCGGTTCTTCCGGAGACCAGGATTATAAACTCTTCCGAGCATGCTCATAGCCGCGGAGCAAAGGGTCCCAACCGCCAAGCCAGACATGACTCGAGTAACGTAGAACAGTATCATTCTGTCAGGCGTGATGGAGAAAGCACCAATGAGACTCCATAGGGAAAGCCAGATGAAGGCTGCACAGGTAAGGTATTTCGGGCTGATGAGATCGGCCAGGGAACCCGAAATGATGACGGAAACCCCGTTAGCCACGAGAAATGAACCAATAAGCCATGGTGTGTTGAGCTAGCTCGTATTTAGAGCGTCGATGAAAGTAGATGGGTTGACAAATGTGTGTGAAAGATGAATAGCAAACATAAGCTGGCCCATAGAGCATATGCAAACGAATCCCACTTCTTCGGCGAAGGATGAGAACTCTGGAGGAATGGTGGAAGCTCCTAGTCGCCGGGAGGTAGCTGAATTTCGTCTTTCTGTCTCTGCATCATATTGGATTTGAGTCAACTCAACTTCCAATGCATGGGGTTGAAGAGTTGTAACGGTGGCCGACATGGTGATCTGAAAATAAGAGAGGCTTATGCAGCGGGGAACTTGACTACTCGGGCATTCAGCCGGACTGAAATCTCCTCTTATTTGATCTAATACCTCTCAGACTTTGCGTATGATTTATAAGCCGACCTAAATTACAAATCTGAAGCTGTGTTAATAACCGGGTGGGATGTAGGTGACGTAGAGATGGGTCCCAAAAGCCGAAATGGTGTTCTCACAAGCGGAGCCGGCTACTCGGTCTCTTGAGCACAGCCTCTGGCGGTAACACCAGATACCCAAAGTAAGCCTACGGGCAGAATTCAATTCAGTAAATAAAAGACAGTCTCAACAAACGTTGAATAACGCGGAACTATGGCCCAATACGACAAGTGGTTTCTCTTTTCTACCCTACACCTAGAGTCTGCGCAGAAGATCACGCGTGTCTTAGGGTCTCGGTTCTTCTTTCATACAGCTGAGATGCGAATGCATAACCCTGCCGTCCTTCACAACAGCTAATATAGACTCTTGAGACTTGTCCAGGATTGTGATATCATCCAAAGGGTTACGATCCAGAACCAGAAGATCTGCCATGAACCCTTCCTTAACCTGGCCTAGCTTGTTTTCCTGGCCAAGCAACTTGGCGGCATTGATGGTGGCGCTTTGTAGAACCTGAAGGGATGTTTGAACTTGACTGCGAATAGAGAACTCTTTCGACTGAGCAAAGTGAGTAGGACCCAGCAGATCTGTGCCGAAGCAGACTGTGACACCGACTTCAGTTGCCATCTTGAGTGTAACTAGGCCCTGTTCGAGTACAGTGGTGACTTTGGCTTCTGACTCCGCATCGAGAAAATGTGACTCCTTTGATACGAAGTGAGTGACAAGCGTCGGCGTGAGAAATGTCCCCGTCTTCGCCATGAGCTTCGCGGTTTCCAGATCGATCAGGTTGCCGTGCTCAATACCCCTGACGCCCTGCTTGATTGCTTGTGTCACTGCTTCTGTGGTATAGCAGTGGCTTGTGACATATGTCTTTGCGTTATTTGCAACCGTCACTATGGCCTTGATTTCGTCGTCAGAGAACTGAAGTTGGTCGATGCGATCAGTTGGGCTAGCAACGCCGCCACCGCCCATGATCTTGATGAAGTCTGCGCCTTGTCGCAGTTCGTCTCTCGCCATGCGGTAGCATTCTGGCACTCCATCAACGATACGGCTGATGCCTGATACAGCGCCGCCGCAACAGGGGATGGTGTCGTGCCGTCCTCTCATGTCGCCGTGGCCACCAGTCTGAGAAAGGGCTTTTCCAGAAATGAAGAGGCGCGGGCCGGGATAGATGCCTTCTTCAACGGCCTCTTTCATCGCGAGAGTCGCACCACCGCAGTCTCTGACGGTAGTAAACCCCCGCTGGAGCATTGACTTGAGAACACTGGGCTGCCGCAGAAGGCTTTTGGTCTCCGTCATGTCTCGGTACGACGACAGGCTTGCCGCGCCTGGCGTAACCGCGATGTGAACATGGCAGTCAATCAGCCCGGGGCAAACGTATTTTCCTTCGAGGTCAATGATGTTCTCCGGCTTGATGTCGAATCCATCTGGCTTTGCTGGCTCGCCTGTTTCAACGGAGATAATCTTGCCGGCGGAAAGGGCAATCGTGGCATTGCTGCTGATTGATCCATGAACTGGGTCAACAATTCTGCAATTTTTCAGCAGATACGGCTGCTGTGGATCAAGCTTCCATGGAGTGATGTATTTCGACATGTCTATGCCAGAACTCTCGGGTTTTGTTTGTGTGGTGACCATTTTGACTCGATAATTACCAGGCAGATTCTGAAGGTTGGTTCATTCATATTTCTGAAGGGAGATAACACACGGAGTGACGAAGAAATACATATTTAAGCACTTATTGTCTGTCACAGACACACAATACCAAGAAAACATAAGGCAAGCCAACGTATGAAAACGTCACAAACGGTTGAAATAGTAATTACAATGGGTGTTCAGATGATTCGACTTCCGGTGAACAGGCGATGTTGAAAAATCCGGGAGGAATTCAGCCAAGATCAATGTTGAGACATTCCGTGTTCGGCTTGAGAAAGTCGTGGCGTGGACACTTCCTCACCGGCGAACATAAGACGCATCCGGCGACGCACATGGTCTGACTTCAAGACCCGCTCGCCGAATGCCACCTTCAGTTAGCGTGTCATATGCGAGGATACGAAAGCATCCTCATTCAGCTTGAACCTCGAGTCATCTCCTCGGCTATTGATCCTACATTGGTGAAGTGGAATTTTTCGAGGACCAGTTCGGCCAAGCCGTTGGGGCTGGATTATGTTGCTGATTCAGTGACTCCGACCGTCCGGCGTCGGAATACATTTTCAGGGGCCATGGGTGCGAGGCTGCCAGGCAAGTGTCTACTGCAAGTGATTACGACTTGACCCAAGATGCATCGTCACCTACTCATGTGCGATTTGGCTAGTGCTTCGGATGGTCTCACTCAATTAAAGCGCGACAATGGCGGACTATTACCAGGTCAGCTTTGTCGGGGATTCATCAGCCAGGTCTTTGACAGCTCTCGTGCAGAGGAAACGATCCTTTTACTAGACGATTTCAGATACATTTCGAAGAGCCCATCGATTGAGGGACTTGGCTTTACTGAAGGGTTTCGTTTACTTGTTGGCAATCCAAATGCAACTAAGAATGGCTGCGAAGGACAATATGTATAAATTAGTAGTCTTGTGTGATAGGCGGGCCTAGACTCAACCTTGAGAGACAAACAATAAGATGTTTTGTTTCGAAAAATTGCAAACGCAAATTTATGCATCAGTATCGTTCGCCAGAATGGTCGTCGTTAATCTATCTGAACAACTCGGCAATGTCCAAACAGCTTGTTGGGCGGCAAGACAATCGAAGGGATGTCCAAAAGAAATGTGATCGTCACTAGGACATTGCTTACACTACAAGCGAACGCCGGCTCGACCGATGACAGCCTGACAGGGCCGTCAACCACCCGCGCGGAAGACCGGCATGGAAAAGAAGAAATAGGCCTGGCCCGAAGACATGGCATTCGAAGCAGCCCTGTCTCTTTTCACAATAAGTTCTCACAACGCGATCCGTCCACGTGGGATCCGAAGTGGAATTCTGCTCACTAACAGGCCGTGCAATCTGAAATACGGCACCGCCCGCAATATCGCGACTCATGTCCACTATCCACTCCGGTCCAGACTCACGGCCAGTTACCATCCCTTTGGGTTAGCAGTGACGATTTAGTGAAACGTTGAAACTTTAAAGCTCCCAATCGGCACGCTCTTCCACCAAGGAGAAATCCAAAGTCGGCAGCAAACCGTACGACGCGGACATAAGACCCCTTGAAAGGATGACACCTGTAAATTAAAGCAGGTAGTCGGGAAGCCGACGAAGCACAAGCCGCTGCTAGTATAGAGTGGGAAGAATAAGCCCATCGTGAACCTCTGTGGCTCCCTTTCCCGATCGCGTTTCCGCTCACTCCGCGCTCCTAGCGCTACTTTGGCGAATTAGAGGGCAGAATTCCTCCATGTAGTTTCACATGGGAGAGAAAAGGGGGCTGTTATTGCTGAGTGGCGGGTTTCTGATTGAGTTGCGAGAGCCATTAGTCTATGGGGATGACACCCCAAGGAGTTTGTCATTCGGGAGAAATAGATTAAGGAATTAAGTGTTGTTTCTTTTGTGGGATGCCGCATGGCTGTCAATATGCCAACCCATTCCTTGAGACCTTCTTCATGTGGTCATCTGCTCTGAAGTGACTGTGATAAGCACCGTGGGCTTCCTGGTATAAAGCGAGCTTGCTTTCCTGTGATGATCTCTTCCCGTTCCGCCTTGCCCCCAGTCTATCATCACCGAATCTCCAGGATCAATCCCTCCATCCATCAAAATGCACGGTCTATTTTCCATTGGTACGGCCCTTGCCGTCATGATCCAAGGCACCGCCGCTGCCACGAGCGCTGTTGCAACTTGGTATGGTGGAAACTTGAGCGGAGGCAACTGCCTCTTTTCTAGTTACACGTTGCCATCGAGCGTCCTGGGTACTGCCTTGTCGTACACCAACTACAATGGAAACTGTGGTACCTGCCTCAGTGTCAAGGGACCGAAGGGTAACACCATCAAAGTTATGGTAAGCATCAGCAAGTCTATTCAACCAATATATCCACGACCTACTCTAACTCAAAGATCAGGTCGTCGACAAGTGCCCCTCAGGCTGCGGAAACGGCCAGCTCGATCTCTTCCCTGATGCTTTCGCCAAGCTCGACGACCCTAATAAGGGACAAATCAGCGTCTCATGGGAGCAGGTACCTTGCGGCATCACCTCACCCTTGATCGTCCGTAATAAGGAGGGAACTTCGAAGTGGTGGTATGTGTCTTTGATCACGGCAGCGACCCGAATAGTCTAACTTACATATCTCCTAGGTTCTCCATGCAAGTTGTGAACCACAACTACACAGTCACCAAGTTCGAAGTCAGTACCGACAGCGGTAAGAGCTGGCAGCCAACTGTCCGTCAGGACTACAACTACTGGCAGAAGAGCAGTGGTGATGGATTTCTCGTGGACACCGTTAGCGTCCGTGTCACCTGCTCCAACGGTAAGCAGGTCGTTGTGAACAACGTCGGTACCAAAGAGAAGGCCTCGTTCACTGCATCGGGTAACTGCTAGAAAGGGATCATGGAATAGCTTATAGGTCGAGAGGGTTGCTATGTATTCACCTCACCGGACTCAGCGCGTTTTCCTGATAGCCACACTAGGATTTCTACAACGAGGGATTTGTACATAGCCTTTACTTCTTGCATATAATTTGACAGTATATATATTCAGATGAAGCAGTCGGTCTAGATATGAATAGTGATTGAGTTAAGGTGGAAGCACTATTCTCACATTTTGGAAAGCGATATTTTGCCTGTAATGCCCTGTAGACTGTGTAGCGTTAACTCAGTCAGATAGCCGGAGACAAACTAGAATCTAAAGCTTTGTTTGGGGACTGGCTAAGTACTTACTGTGTGTGGGTTAATACTACCTTCCTCAGGGGTTGGATTTATTGAAATACAAATATGTTCCTTCTACCCAGGTATGCAAAAATAATCGATACGCTTCCAGGCTTCCAAATTTCCATGTCCCCAAATTCCCACGCTTTTCAAGAAAGTTGAGTTTTGAGAATGGGCGGACAAGGTATAAAATCTTTTACACTTCAGCTGAGTTGGCAGGGTGCACAAAGGTAGTTCACACCAGCCTCTCGTTCCCTGCTGCTAAACAGAGACAGCCATCCCAAAGAGGTTCTTGTTGCTGCGTTTTCAATGGTTGAGAGCATGTACGGCGAAGACCACCTCTAGTAGGTAGTTATTATGCATTCCTGCAGCGTGACAATTATTAGACTTTGCATTGTCGTCAACGGAGAAACCCTGATATCGTAAAATATGCTCAATTGCCAGAGCATCGGAAGTGTAAGCCATCACGATAAACTGTGGCTGGAGTGCGTGCGGGCCGAGAACCCGCTTCAAGGAGCAAACTTCGGCCTAGCGAGCCGAGCTGAGGAGCGCTGCTGTGCTCCGCACTGTCGGTCTATCATGTATTCGTGGAAACAACATGATGCTATGGTGTCAGTGAACACCTTAGAGAAATAGTAAATGACCCAGAATCAAATGACTAATACGGAAAGTTTGCATTCAGACAAGATCAGAGTAAAGTCAAACTTCAATTGAGCGGAGATTCTGACGTTGGGAGAAGGGCTTCTGACTTGGGCATTCAGTTCAGAGCACGCTAAGTTGCGCCACAATTGTGTGACTGTGGCTGGACTTGGAGGTGCAATCAAGATGCCTCCGCACCGCGTTCCATCTTAAGATTGACAATTGCGAGACTTCAACGAGAGGAACTAGACAAGGTAAGGCATATGCCGCCACACGGATCTCTTGTGGACAATTGAATATGCCGATGTGATGGCTGGCGAAGGCGAGAGTCCAAGCAGCTCAGCCGAGCAAGAAGTTGAGACGGCAAACTCTGCCCCGCGCGGCAAGCGAGCGAGCAACGCGTGAGTGCAGTAACCTCCAGGCTCACCATCCTCGGATGTGAAAGCGTTTATTCTTAAGTCTTTTTTTACTGATGGCAACAAAAGTTGTACGCGGTGCCGTGAACGCAAGGTGAAGTGTTCGGGATCGTTACCGTGTGCAAATTGCCTGCGGAAGTCAGTCGAGTGTGTCTTTGATAAGGAGGATCGGAAAGTTGTTGTATCCGAGAGGTAACAATCTAGGCCCGCCTCTACGGGTTGTTTGTTACAAGCCAATATCTAACCGTCTGAAGGTTTCTTAATGAGCTGAAACGCAAGTCGGGATATGGCGTGGACGGGAAAACCTCGACTTCCCCTACAGCTAAGCGATCTCGACGTCATCGATCGATGTCGCCAGCTGATGCTGGTTTTCGTGATGGTAAGCCGTGATCTGATATTTTGTTGCATAGTGCGGTCTCACTCATCATAGCAATTGCTACACGTAGTGGTTAATGCAACACCAGCGCCATTATTGATAGAGATCGACCACGGAGCCTCGCTGCCGGCACATGGTTTCAATCTTGACGACGGCACGACTGTCGTCGGCGGTGAAGATGACCGCGAAGAGCGCCGTGGCTTTTCTAACATGCGGAATCCATTAGCAAGCGGACCATCAAAATTCCTCACGGACGCAACGGGTAGAAGAAGTGAGTGACTGCTTGACGCCATTGCTACTTCTTTCGATCTAACTGGTTTATAGGATGGCTCGGGCCTTCGTCAACTTGGGCATATAGTCGACAGGTACTCAACATGATCCAAGGTCATCTCGGTCAGCATGCATCCCCAGAGGTTCCCCTCAACGTTGATGCCGAAGCATTCAAGTTGGACTGGCCATCGTCCAGAGACGTCATCCCGCAAGCCACAGTCGACATTCCGTCTCTAGATTACGCTCTATATCTTACAAACACAGTCAAGTTCCATCTTGGGCAAACATACCATCTCTTTGACGAGGAAAGCTTCATGACTGGGCTTTACGATTTATACAGAAGAGGGCCGAAGCTGGAACCAACAGCAGGTTCCAGATTATGGTATATCCAGTTTCTAATGATCATGGCTTTCGGCAAGGCTCTCTTAGTCCCTGGAAACCCAAATCAGACTCCTCCTGGAAGCAGTCTGGTGACGAGGGCTCTCGAGCTGCTTCCTGATGTCCATGGATTGTATCAAGACCCTGTACTGTCCGTGGAGATTCTATGCAGTCTTGCTCTATACCTGCAGTCTGTAGACCACAGGAATAGCGCTTACACCTACGTGAGTTGATAGTCAGTCATCAGTCGTTCATTGAACCGCTCACTCATTCCAGTAGATCGGCAATGCATTTCGAATCGCTGTTTCTCAGGGTCTACACCGAGAGCCATTGAAAAGCTTGGTCAATGACAACGAAGCTAACAGACTCCGTTGCGTCTGGTGGACTCTTTATATCCTAGATCGGAAGATGTCGTCACTTATGGGGGCCCCCAATTCGATACAAGATAGCGACATAACTGTTCAACTACCAAGATCCGACCCAGTGGTTCACAAGTACAAGGCACTGGGCATACACGTTGTGTTATCTCAGCTGCTTGCCAAAGTTCTGAACAGTGAGTCCACAGTAGCCTGCAGCATCGACATTTTCTAATCGTGACAAAGCTGTGTATGGTGTGGATGGGAAGCTTGACCCATCGTTTTTGAAGAGCGTACAAGAAGTTTTGAGAGACATGGCAAGGCTGGCTCCGCAGCTTACGGCTGGGTTCGAGTTTAAGTTCAATAATTCGGAACCTGCTTCAAGGGTGTCTGCTACACTCAACTTGTGTTATCACCAGGTTAGTGACTATTGAGTCTCTACTTCCACTTCTGGCAGCATGCTGAATATCTAAAGTGTGTTGTTCTTGCAACTCGCCCGCTTCTCTTGTGCCTCCTACAAGACGTTCTAGGAAGGCAGGGAAATCCGAACAGAGGCCTTGCGAGCCCAATCAAAGCGCTGTTGAAGACATCCTCAGACTCAGCAAATAAATCACTCCAGATCTTGTCAACATTACAGTCACAACACCTATTGGGTAAGCAGATGCATCTACTAACGGTCGTAAGATAGACTGACATCCTGGCCAGAATCTTTCCTCCCCTTTGACTTGGAGCAAGCATTCTCGTCGGCTTTTGTCCTCACTTTGATGACCTCCATGCCTGGCCTTCCCGAACGAGACAACGAATATATGCAAACCACAACTGATATACTCGCCCCCATGATTGCGCGCGGGAACGTAGTAGCCCGGTTCCGAAAAGAAGAACTCGAGAAGCTCCAAGAGATACTACGCCTCGCCCAACGTCAACTTCACGCTCCACCGTCAGCTGCTGGTCATGGCAGCAACAGCATGCAAAACGAGGATCAGACTTCACGGCGTATCAACGTTGGAGACCTGCCATCATTTAATACTGAACAGCCTACAGAAGCCGGTCCAGCAACTGGCAGTACAGCGAATGGGCTCGCTTCTGAACAAATGCTATCAATAGCGGGCTTGCTCGACTGGGAGCCAAACATGGCCGCTTTCGACGATGATCAACTCGCGGGGAGTTGGTTGTGGACGGAGGCGATTGCGCCGGATTTTGACTTTAGTGGGGGCTTAATGTGATTGATAGACGGGTTGCCAGACTGATCCTCGGATGTGTGCTTCCAAAATCAGGTTTCTAGGAATCAAGACAACTTACTAAAGTAGGCTTGAGGAGGAAAGACACATGTCAGAGAGGGTCGGATTCGCAGATAAAGACAATCTAATCCTGTGGGGTAATCGTTCGATCATTGACGACTGGACCAACAGCCAGCTACAACAGGTAGTCCCATATGCAAGTGGTAGCGGAGGCGCCAGGGGAAACCTTGCAAGAGGCGGAAAAGCTAGCTGGACTTCATACTTGGATGGCGAGACCCTTATCAACTGAACTCGAATAAGACTCCACAACATTCCTGGTCTCCAGATAGGGACATGTCCGAGTCAGTTGACTATCAGATACCAGCTCGCGGGTTGGCAATCCGAGGGCCTTCTCCCCGCGTTTTCCCCGTCTCAGGACCCACTCCCGAATCGCTACCCTGGACCCACGGACTTGAGATAATGACAAAGAATGGGGTGTCAAAGGCTGATTTGGGAGTTGGCTTAAGTCATGGGCTCGCTGGAAAGACTTTAATATGACATTGACCATCCCAGCCTGGTGGTTAAGACTTTGAAGAGACACAGGGACTGGTCAGCTCGTGTTAACTCGTCGAGCCTCTGCGGACAAAAACCCGATAATTTGGCTGTTGCCGCAGCATGAGACGCATCAACTCATACAATTCAACTTCAGACAAGGCAACTATGGACCAAGAGAAGATGGAGCCTGCAGGCTTAGAGGGTCTGTCCCATCAACAGAGTGCAAAGATCGGGCAGGTCGAAGATCCAAACATTCAGCCCGGACATGAACTTCACAAGCGTCTCGAAACACGCCATGTCACGATGATTGCCCTCGGCGGTGCGCTTGGAACAGGACTGCTGGTCGGAACGTAAGTCTTCTACCAGTACCAGGAAATGCCGTTCTTGCGTCCAATTCTAACCCGCCGATTCTAGAGGCTCAGCATTAGTCAAGGCAGGCCCAGCCGGTATCCTCATAGACTACTCCATCGTCGGTTGCATCGTGTTCCTCGTCATGGCCGCCCTCGGCGAGATCATCTCCTACATGCCCCTATCCCACGGCTTCGGCGGCTACGCAACCCGCTTCGTCGACCCAGCCCTCGGTTTCGCGACAGGCTACTCCTACTTCTTCAAGTACCTCCTCGCCACGCCCAATCAGCTCTCCGCTTTCGCCCTGATCATGAAGTTCTGGGTAGGAGACCGCGTCAACCCGGCCGTCTTCATCACCATCGCCCTGGTCCTGATCCTCTTGATCAACAGTATCAGTGTCAAAGCCTTTGGCGAGTTCGAGTTTTGGCTCTCGTCTCTGAAAGTAATCATCATGATTGGCGTCATCCTGTTGCTCTTCATCCTCGCCGTGGGCGGCGGTCCCACCGGCGACCGTCCCGGCTTCAGATACTGGTCCGATCCGGGTGCTTTCGCCGAGTACAAGGTCGAGGGTGCTCAGGGCCGTCTTCTCGGAGTCTGGAGCGCTATGGTAGCTGCCGTGTACGCCTTCTCCGGCACGGAGCTCGTCGGTGTTACAGTCGGCGAGGCCAAGAACCCGCGCCTGAGCATGCCAAAGGCTGTCCGCCTGACCTTTATGCGCATCGTCTTCTTCTACGTCATCTCCGTCTTCCTGCTGGGCATGGTTGTCCCCTACAACAGCGCCGAGCTCGTCTTCGCAGCTAAGGCCAAGACCAGTGCTGCGGCCTCGCCGTTTGTGGTGGCCGTCACCATCGCCAAGATTAAGGGGCTCGATCACGTCATCAACGGCTGTCTCGTGGTGTTTGTCTTTTCAGCTGCCAACTCGGACATTTACATCTCGTCTCGCACGTTGTATGGTATCGCCGTCGATGGCAAAGCCCCTCGCATCTTTTCCAAGACGACCAAAGCCGGCGTGCCTTTTGTGGCTCTGGGTTTGTGTGGTGTCTTTTGCTGTCTGGCGTACATGTCTGTCAGCTCCGGTGCAGCAACCGTCTTTGGCTATCTGACGAATATCGTCACTGTCTTTGGTGAGTCCACTCTGAATGTTTGACGCACGAAAGTCGAGGCTTACACGTACCATAGGTCTACTTACATGGATATCCATCCTCGTCTCCCACATCTTCTTTTGCCGTGCCCGCACAGCCCAGCGAATCGACGCCGCATACATCCCCTACCGCGCTCCCCTGGGCGCATGGGGCTCTTATATTGCTCTCGGCTTTCTCATCATCCTGACCTTGACCAAGGGCATCGAAGTGTTCGTGGGCACTTTTGACTACAAGAACTTTATCGTTCAGTACATTGGAATCCCCGTCTACCTAATTTGCATCTTTGGGTACAAAATCTTCAAGAGGTCTCATCGCGTCCGGGCCGAGACGGCCGACTTGGTCACAGACGTGCCAGAAGAGACCGTTGCTGAGGAGAGAGCAGCAGTCGAAGCGGAAAGAAGGGAAAATGAGGTGGCGATGGGGAAGAAGAGCGCGTTTGCAAAGGTCTATCGCAAGGGGTTCGCATGGTTGTTCTGAGATGATGTGTAACATTAGTTTCAAGACCTACTCTGCATAGTATGTGATAAGAACCACTAATTCGAAGCATCCAGCCTTTAGAATCTGCTACTCTAACCCTTACATGAGAGTCGTATTTGCCCTTCCCATCATCAGTCCTTCAGCCCATTTAGATAGGATGCTCAATAACAACCTTCTCCAACGAAGCACCGCCATAAGCCACCCTCTGGATCTCCCGTAAGCCGGCTTCGCCGCCCTTGACGACAGTCACATTCGGGTGCTTTGGAGCTCTTTCAGCAGAGCTCAGAACATGTTCCATAACCCTCCGCAAGCGAACCGGGAATTCAGGGGCTTGAGGGTGTCGCATGGCCCCAACGCTGCCAACAGGCCGATAGGACGTACAGAAACCGAAAGCCGGATCATGGGCCACGGGCTGCGTACACACAAGCTTGATAGACTCCCCGGCGCTTCCTGACAAGCTTCTGCGGAGAAGCGCCGGCGTAGACGTCTCAGTGTCAGCATTAGGGCCATGAAGGCCGCTACCGACGGTGTCGAATCCCGTGGTCAGGCTCACACCGAGGTCCTTTGCGGCGGCGCGGATATCACTGGTGACGTTGGGGCTCTTGTAGTCGAAGCAGTGTGTGGCTCCGAGCTTCAGTAGCGCAGCGTGGTTCTTGGCGGACGCGGTCGTGAAGATGGGATTGAAACCCGCCGCTTTGGCAAGCTGGATGGCCGCGATGCCGACGCTGCTGGCGCCGCCCCAAATGAGTATCGGTTTGTCGGTCCCGTCAGTCCCGGTGATGGCCGCGGCGGGAAAGGCGAAGCCGAGGACATTGAATATGGCGTCGGCGGCAGTCTGCGTCGTGAGGGCTAGCCCCCCAGCGTCTTTGAGGTCGAGGCCGGGTGGCAGCTTGAAGGTGAGATTGCTCTCGACGATGGTCCTGTCTTGGTGCGTGCAGGCCGAGGACTTTTGGGGGAACCCGACGGGCGAGATGCCGAGAACGGCGTCGCCGATTTGTAAGGTAGATTTGGGTCCGACTGCTTCGACGATGCCGGCGAACTCGAAGCCGGTGACGAAGGAGTTGAGGCCTACGTGGAAGAAGTTGAGATCGCAGGGGTTAATGCCTGAGTACTTTACTGATACGAGGGCTTGATGCTGTTGGGGGGTGTAGTCTTCCGTGACTTGCTTGATGGTGAGTTGGCCATCGGCACCTAGGTAGATTGAGCGAGACATTCCTTGTAAGTTGTTGGTTTCGGTGATGTTGAGAACTTGGCCCATTTCAGTAATAATAGCCTCTCGAAGGGCGATGAGGTTTTCTATCTGGTAGCGCAGTAATCGTACTCAGACAACATCTGCTGGCTCGGCCTGGACGTTGTACCGGGGCCGCGATCATCGGCGGTTCACATCGTTGATGTCCGTCTCTGTCGGGATTATGGAAGAGTGTTGTCGTTGCGCCGAGTACCCCACAGCACCGGACTTAAGAGCGCGCTAGCATCGTACAAAAACCGGGGGATAAATTAGGTTCGTCTGTGTTATCGAGCGGTTGAAAATGATGAACCTTGACGGACACGGCCGGAAGACGGACGGCGATCCGTCCGTCCGGAGCTACCCGGGAGCACCCTCCGGAGTAGCCCTTCGGTTCAACGCCGTCACTTTCGGCAGTCGTGGCTAAAGGTTGGCTCATCTATTCGCGCGCGGCACGGTCACGGACCCTGCTTGACAATTATTTCCACTTGACTCTTTATGCTTCTTATTCCATGGGGTATTAGTGGTGAGACGAAGTGTCATGGGCCTCACGCATCAAAAAGATCAGATCTTGCCCGCGGTTGACCTCTTCCAGTAACCCAATGTTTCCAGCATCTTTATAGTACTAGGAATAGTCGCATGCGATGGACGCTTTATTGGTGGTTGTCCTACATCTGCTTCAACTTGGCCCATTGCCACCGCTGATCTTCGCAAAAACTCACGCTCAAATTAGCGACCAACCTGGCAAGTTGGTCTTTGTAATAGTCTAAAATAGGAAGAGGTCTTTGTGCTGAAGTAGGCTACAGATGATTTAGGACAGTACAGTTGTTTAGCTAGGGTATCTACCGGGTTGTATTATGTATAATTGTCACTAATATGGCGCTCCTTCAATTCCAAATTCCACTCGAGTTATCCCCCAAAATCAATAGACCATACATCAACTCCTCTTCACCATCCCTCACCCCGAGTCCGTGTTTTTCCCACCTACAATCCTGTTGATCGAGGTGCATTTTAAAGGTTCACATCACTCAAGGCCTCTCCTCATCTTGGAAATCAAGCTCAAGCACTCGGAGTCTGTTGCTTTTCCGCGACAGGCGGTGCAACCGGCGCATACTGCGACGGTACGACGCCACCTCCAAGCTGCGGCGAAAAGACTTGAATCGTCCCATCATACGGCCTCGTAGCAACCTTGTTCTTGCATTTTGAGCAGGTGTAGTGCATGTCCTCGCACCACCCCGCAATACAGGGCACGCATGTTAGGCAGACGCAGAGAAGACAGCAAAGAGCACCGGCAACCCTGAAAACCTGCGTGTAAGCCGGTTGACGTGGAAGTAATATCACGAAATCATCAGTCAACTTACATTTGCATAGCGGTTCCCTCTTTGGCAATGACCGTCTGGGTCCTCTGCTTGCAAAAGGGGCAGTCAATCCATTGCGGCTCGTCGCCCAGCATGTGCAACGGCGTAACCGTCGCTGGGTTCGCGAGGGGAGTGATCGTCGGACCCCCCTTTTGTTGAGCGGCCATTGGTGTTGCAGGTTGTCTGCGAGAGTCGTCAGAAAAGATTACAAGACCATGGAGATGCCACTTAGAAGACTCACTCGAACTGTATCAAGTCCGCCGGCATCTCTCTGGCGGGAGCAGGGCCGCTTCCCTGCACAGTAGACGCAATTGGAGATTCTCTCTCATAGGTTGGTGCCGGCTCTTGGACGTCGATCGCCGGGGGAGGAGCAGTCTTTTGGTCCGACATCTTTGCTTCTGAGATTTGATTCGTGGTGTAGGATGGTGGATCGTTGTGTATCACAATTGTACGGCTTGGAAGTCACCACTAATGGATTGGATAGAGGAACAGGTAAGGAAAGCTTGGTCAGTATTAAATAGAGAGGACGCGAGAAACAGATAAAATACAGACTTTTGAGATGACGAACATGTGGTCACTTTTTAATACATGTAAAACTCTCCCTCCAGGTAAGAACCGTAAGATTGCCTCCGGGCACGCGTGAGTCCTACCAAGGTGGCACTAACAGCGGCACAGCATCGCAGGAATCCACAATCAGGCAGAACCGTAACATCGACAGCGATCGCCATTGGTGCTTACGGGAATAGACTTGCTCGGCAGGGGGCACAATGTCTCTCCCGGGTCTCCCCCCTCCCCAAGGCTCTACGAAGTTGGTGTGGGCGGCGCAGCCCTACAACCAGGGCGATTGCGCCTCGTGTGTGAAATGTGAGGGTTGCGTCGGGGCAAAGCTGAGAGACACCCCGGGAATCTTACACCCACGCGCTTTGGATGAGCAGATGATAGGTGGTCTCGACTGCCTAATGCAGTTCCTATGGCGAAGCGATATCCGATGTTACACCAATCGATCCCGTCCCATAATAATAGAACAGGGGGAGCAGACACGACGATCAGACAGCCCAGCCTTACTTCGACTTCACGAATGACTTTGCTGACACAGCCACTTTTTTATGCAGTGCTGCTCCTTCGAACTTCATCTGCATCATCAATTCCATGATTCGGAATGATACTAATAATGCAACTGATAGTCCATGGTCAATAATGTTGATGTAGTCTGGCCCAACCCCCTCTGCCTCTTTGAAGAGACCCCCAGATGGATCACCATCCAGAACCCCAACAGCGAGTTATCAACGCAGCGTCAAGATGCGCTTAATCAAAGCTTCATCCATACACAGCGACAATCTCCAACTCATCGACTTCAACCCGGATCAACTTCCCCGCTACGCGATCCTCTCACATACCTGGGGCGACAACGAAGTCATCTACGCCGACATCAGAGACCAAAATGCGGCCACCAAGCCCGCCTTCCAAAAAGTCCGCTACAGCTGCATCCAGACCCTGGCAGACGGTCTCGTATACGTCTGGATCGACTCGTGCTGCATCGACAAGAGCAGCAGCGCGGAACTCTCCGAGGCCATCAACTCCATGTACGAGTGGTACATGAAGTCGGAAGTCTGCTACACCTATCTCTCGGGCGTACCCGCCACCGTGGACCCAGTCAAGACGGACGGCACGTTCGCCTCGTGCCGGTGGTTCACGCGCGGCTGGACCCTTCAAGAACTCCTCGCCCCGGCCGAAATGGTCTTCTTCTCCGAGGACTGGGTGAAAGTAGGGGAGAAGACGACGCTCAGCAGGCCTCTATCCGTCATCACAGGCATAGACGAAGACATGCTCACGGGCCTCAAACCCCTCGAATCAGCAAGCCTCGCCAAGCGCATGTCCTGGGCCGCGCACCGGCAAACAACAAGACCCGAAGACGTGGCCTACTGCCTGATGGGCCTCTTCGGCGTCAACATGCCCATGCTCTACGGCGAAGGCGAGCGCGCCTTCCTCCGCCTCCAAGAGGAAATCATGAAGCAGTCCGACGATCAATCCCTCTTCGCCTGGGTCGACCTATCAGCCTCAACCGAGACCTACCACAGCCTGCTCGCCAAATCACCCGCCAACTTCGCCTACTCCAACTCCATCATGCCCTACCAGGACTGGGAGCCGCGGCCGCCGTACTTCATGAGCAACCGCGGCCTGCGCATCGACTTACCCCTGACGCTCTGCGGCGAGGACATCTTCGTCTCGGCGCTGGACTGTCCCGCGCCGCCAGACTACGAGGATTCTACGTTCTTGGCAATCTATCTCAAAAAGATTTCGAGCGGCGGGGACCAGCAATTCGCGCGCGTGCAGGTGAACCAATTCGCCAAGGTCCAGGAGCGAGGGAACAGGCAGACGCTCTACGTGCGGCAGACGTTCAACGGCGTCGCGGACGCGGAGGGCGTGTTCCCGCAGCACATTATCCAGCTCCAAAAGGGACCGTCGCGCGATCAGTACTCGGTGCTGAATCTCGTGCACTCCAAGGAGGCTGACCGAGGGGACCGGCCGGCGGCGTGTACGTCGAGCAGGGGCTTTGGACGGGACTTGATTCACACGGCGACGGGGAAGACGATTACTTTCCGTAACCCGAAGGCGGCGGGCCAGCTTGCCGGGGCAGTCACCTTTGCGCGAACGGACGGGTCCCGGCTGCTCATCATGTTCGGGTCCATGGACGGCATCCGAGCCGGGTTCCACGCCCGCGAGCTACCGCCTCGGTTCCCGGGCATGAACCAGAACGAAAACCAGAAGCAGGCAAACAAAAATCCCTCCAACGCAAAGGAGGAACCCCAAAAAGAACCGCCGGAAGCGACCTTTTCCTTTGACGACTTGCAAACAATGTTCCGCCCGACCCCAGCGGGCGTCGACGTCGAGCTGGAGCGGTTCCGGGTGCGCGTAGACGTGGAGACGGTGATTGCGAACGCGAGCAAGTACCTGATGGCGGACGTGCTCATCGAGCCCGTCAACCGGCCGTGGGACCCGTTTGAGCCGCTGGACGCGGCTCTCGGGTGGTATGAGGGGGCGACGGGGCGGCAGAATCGGGGGCAGTCTGCTGCTGCTCAAGCGGCGGTGGGGGCGCAAGCGGCGGTGGGGGCGCAAGCGGCGGTTCCGATTAGTAGGGATGGTGGGAAAACGAAGAGGGCTTCTTCTAGGTGGAGGAGGTTGATTTCATGAGTCGTTTTTGGCCTTGATGGAAGTAGGTACTTTGCGATGGGCTAGGAGGGCGGGAGAAGATATATGAGGAAGGGGAAAAGGGCACATGATTCGAGGGAGATACCACTTGGGAGAGGAAATTATATCGGCGTTTATACCTTGGGACCAAACACGTAGGTAGATTGGAGTACAACTTATCCGTACATAGGCCAACATTCACATTTAGATGTCAAGAAAGTCCGGCATCATCTTCAGTCACCTAGGAGATCAAGAGTCGAACTACCTTGGGCTGGCTACCTTACCTTACCTTATCTGCTAAAGGCATCAGCAACTTACAGGTAGTCAGTCTCGGTATTCTCCCAAAGACCACTTCTCACGACTACCGACTTGAATCCCCACGTGCCAGCAGCAACAACGGCCTAGAGCACTTTACCGCGACGACCGAAAATGCCTTGGGAGTATTATAGTGTTATTAAGGAAAGGCCAAAAAGAAGAAGAAGAAAAAAAAAAAGACCTGACCCACACAGCCACTCACTGACCGCCGTTTCCCACGGTCCCCCTTCCCCGCCCCTCCCTTCCGGCCCCAGAACCCGGCCGGATGCTTTCCCCCCGTCCTCTGCGCAGCGTAGCGCCGTAAGCCCATCTCACCTCACACCTCACAACTCTTTGTACACAGCGACACAACACAGTCAGTGGGAATCCCAACCAACTCTAGAAAAACGTAGAAAAGAGAGAGGGAAGGAAAGAAAAGAGGTCGAACAGCAAGTCGACTCGAACCCGCGACCTCTCAATCTCGAGGCCCACTCAGCTAAGGTAGGTAGTCAGTCTGTAGGTGAAGTACCTTAGGTGAGCGCGTGAAGTGAGGTACCTATCCCAAGAAATGCATCCGCCCGTCACCCAACATCCCAAGCACCAAAAATGCCACATAAAGAGAAGCTACCGGCTACGACTGGTAGATTCAAATTGCTCACCACTTAAGGCTGCCCGTCGAAATACCTTATTAGGTGTGTTAAAGACACAATGTTACCATTCGGCTGTCGTCCCGCGTCGACGACGGGCGATACTTCCTTGAAGGAAAAGTTGCGCTTCCGGTCCCTATGAAGCTTTCTGCCTTGACCTCGCACTTGCCCACCTTCCCTCCTTCCCTCTTGGAAGTCATCATCCCCTCATTCGATTATTTTCCACATTCACCCCGTCTTCAAACAATAGCAAGCCATATCTCGAACCATGAATCAGCAAAAGTCGTAACCAGAGGGAGGACTGCATGAAAAAAAAAACGCGTGCAACCCCCCTCCCCCCCGCCACCTCGCAAATCGGCCGGCGAATCGGCCCCCGCCTCAAAACCACCCGGGACTGGACTCGGCTCCCCCACTTCTATGGACGCTCCCCGAATCCAATGACGAGGGAAAAAAATAAAAAGTACCCTGATCCTGCCGTACTCCGTATCTTACCTCACTCTCACAAAGTAGACAAAAAAAAAACCAATCCAATGAAATCCTCGCTGCTCACCGAAAAACAAGAGGCAAGCCATGTCGCCTCCCGAACACGTTGCTCAATCTCGCTCGCCCATTGCCGCATGATTCACGCCGTCCCATCCCCCGTGAAAGTACCTATCTACCTAGTGGTCCCCAAAGTCCCCCCCTCCCTCCAAGCATCCGCGCCATCAAATGTAAGTAGTACCGGCCCAGCCCAAGTTCGGCAAGCACGCAAGTTAGGGTAGCAAGGTAGGTAGCCTCCCTCTCTCATCCGTCTCTCCCATCCCGCTGATCCGCTGCACGTCATCACCCATCGCTCCCGGTGCCATCGCCATGATCAACTAAGTACACCGCCAAAGGTAGCACATAGTCAGGCGATAAGGGCATTGAGGGCGCAAAATCCGCCATTGGAAATGAAAAGTTCGCCTCCCCCGCCCGGCAGAAACGCCTCCCTTCAACGGTGCGTTGGCTAGGTGCGGCTCGTGACTTTGTGGCGGGTGGTGTCCTGCCGTCAAAGTCGGAGAGCTTGTTTGCTACAGGTCAGAGTTCGCACTGCAGTGTGGTAGTTGACATGTGGGTATGGCTCGTAAGAATATTCGCATGTTGACCGAGGGAGACTAGTATGGTTGGTGGCGGCGCAAGTAAACATTTCATTAGAGCTGTGAGGCTCTTCTATGGAAACCGAATCTATCATAGGAAAGAAAAAACACAGAACAGAATCATCCGTCACTCATGCTGCTCCGTACTGTGCCAGGTGCTGCCTCTTGGATAAATATAAATCTCACAGGAGCTAGCAATCGAGACAGAACATTGACATATCCCAATGACATAAGAGACTTCGTAAAAGAAATGGAAAGAACAAGATTCTGGTCATCAATCCGTCATCGTCATCAATCTATGCCATCATCCGTGTATGCTCGTCGTGAAACGTCAGTGTGCGTCTATTAAAGGCCTCGTGCTACAGCGAGGGAGACGAGGCCGGACGCTATATATCGTTATGGTTGGTATCCGTGGTTGTTGTAAAACGTATAATGAGTGCCTTGAAATCGACAGGCAAACATGTCCCGCTCATGGGCTAGGACTAGGGCTAGGACTCTCGTACTCCATGATCTCGATGGAATAGTAGGGAAGCTCTCGCGCCAGCGTGCCGCTGTCGCAAAAGATAAAAGTGCCTTCAACCTCACTCTCGGGCTCATCGACTTCGTCGATACGAGGCGGGGGTGGGTCTTGGAATAGGATAAAGCTGTGCCTGTGGCTGTCTCCGTAGCGTCGCCGGAGTCTGCGGGCGCTGGAGCCGACATCGTCTGCGTCGAGGGGTGTCATATCTTCGTGGTCAGAATCGCTACGCTCCGATATGGTGCGCTTGCCAATGCTAGATCCGTGGGACCGCCGCTTGCGCATCTTCAGCTCCCGTTGCATGCGCACGAACTCGCGGTGGGCCTCATCGGCATCCAAGTCGTTATCCGAACCTTCAGAGCTGTTCTCATCAAAACCAAGATTTCTCATATCCTGCGTGAAGCCGAGAGGGAGCCCTCTGGGTGGTGGTGCCCGTGATCGAGAGCGAGCAGATGCTGGGGAGGAGAAGCCTGAGGGGGCAATGGTGCCGCTGCGGTCTTGGTCCATTGGGTCAAAGTCGGAAAGTTCTTCCAGCGTGAAATTCGCTTTGACTGTTGATGTGGTAGTGGCGGTGACAATGTGAGTTTCTTGGCAAATCTCTTGGATGGGAGGCGTAGCCAAAGACTCTGATTCCGAGTCTGAGTCGGACTCATCGTCTTCGTCTTCGTCTTCATCTTCATCTTCCTCTTCATCCGATTCCTCTTCAGAACTGCTATCAACAGCCATACGAGAGGCCGGCATAGGCGCAGGCCTTTGAGCGAACATGGAAGCCGATATGGATACTGGCATCGGGGCCGGAGGAGCAAAGCGCATAGGCGTATCGTCGTCTGAGTCTTCCGATTCTTCGTCGTCTGAATCTTCGTCTTCGTCTTCGTCGTCGCTGTCCTCATCTTCGTCGTCGTCATCGTCGTGGTTGGCCTTAGGTCTTGCTTGAAGTACCTGGCGTTGTTCAGACTCGGGTTCGGACTCGGATTCCTCCTCTTCATCAGACTCAGAGGAGTCTTCGGAAGAGGTGCGGGGCGACAAGTGAGCGAAGCGATTAGGCGTGAAGCTGAATTCGTGGCCATTGCCAGTAGGCTGAATGCTGGAGTCATCGAGTATGATTTGGTGATGCCATTGCGGCAAGTGTCGTGCAGCGAACTTGCGGTTCGCCATTGGCATGGTGGAGGTAGGGGTTTGAGGCGGTGAGTTTGGACCTCCAAGAGGGCCCAGCATCATGCTGGGCGTGGCCGGCCGCGACTTGCGAGGCATGCTCAATGGCGCCTGCGATATGGCAATTGAGGTGCTGCCTCTCTAATACGCCCCAGCGGCCGATTTGTTGATCTGGGGCTCTAGCCTTCTTTGTGTGGTGGTGATCTATCGATCGTGTCTTTGTTGCAGGACTCGACTTTTTTCTTCTTTCTCCCTCGATTATGCGGGGAAGATGAAGTTCAGCGGGCAAATGAGATCAGATCAGCTCCAACGAGCGACAGCCAGTAGATAGGCTTGGTTGTGTGATTGGTTCCGATGAAGGTGGTATATCAAGCAAAGTAGCAGAAGTCAAGGCGTCAACACCCAAAGTAAGAACCTCCGACAAGGAGAAGAGGATATTCGGCTGAAGCTGTAGGTTGTCATGATAGATCTGGCGGGAAATGCTTGAGATTGAGCAAAGCGCGCGCGGGAGGAAGCGGACCAGTTCGAATGCACTCGAGGAGCAACACAAACCAGGGTCCCTTCTAGGAATGGAAGCAGAGTTCAGGTCACTGGCAAGTGACGGAAAGTCCCCAACTTTCCCGTCTCTTTCGAACGCGAAATCGGGGGTTTCCAAGCAGCTGGGTGTCACTGGCGGTGGCCCGTCACTGACAAGAGAGACAGTGGGGAGGAATGTTTCGGGGGGGACACCGTGGGATGTGCGGGATCCCGGGTGTGGGGACGACGAAAATCGGGCGGGCGGTGACGATAGGACCACGGGCTTTGTCCAGGGTGACCAGGGACTGCCTTGTTGAGGGGCGCTGCGGGTTGCAGCACGAAATGGCTGACTGAGATGAAAAAGGCGGTGGTGCAATGCGCACGCGAGCAGGAATAGCACCAGTGAGGTGACTTCGGCTGCCGGTCTACTGCGGTAGGGGAATGTGTTGGACGGAAGGGATTTGGGGAAATCGAAGACAAGCGTGGGGGACCTGGGTCAAAAAGAGAGGCTCAGGAATTTGTCGGACAAGAGGTGAGTGGAATGAATACCGTGGAAAAGAACAGCGGAGGAACGACAACAACAGATTGCCGGAGCCAGCGATTCCGAGTCTGAATCCGAATCTGAGTCTGGCTGGATTTGTTGTGATGCGTTGGCGTCTCAAGTGGAATGGCAAGCCAAAGAGACGACGGACTGCCGATTGTATGATTTCTCGCTGAATTCTGGATTGTGGATGTCCGCGCTGCCGGTGGTGGTGAGGAAGTCTCCCGGTGCTGCTTGAATCAACCGTATAAATTGTGTACTAGACGACTCCCGTGATAGGCCGAGAACGGGTCGTTGGCACGGCTAGACAGTCCGGTCTTATAGGTATGGCTGATATAATGCTTGACTTCCCACCGATCGACCCTTTGCGCTGACTAGCAGAGGGGATGGGAATCGAACGTGAGATGATGGCCAGACGGTTAATGGTCGAGCGAGAGGTAGACACAAGTCAACAACGAGAAGGGAAAAGAAGAGAGGGGGAAAACGAAAAGAAAAGATTTTCTAGTAGTGTGTGGGATGGAGAGAGAATTAAGAATCAAAAGAAGTCATTGCACATGTGCGCTGCAGTTCTGCGGCATGCCCATGCCCATGCCATTCCATGCAGCAAGAAAACTCCATCCCTTGGTCACCTAAGGTAAGGCAGAGAGAGAGGAGAGCCTCTTCTCGCCCACTTGCTGCAAGTTGCAACTGGTGCTGCTAGAGACGTGTGGGTGCCGGCCAGCTGCTTTACTGCGGTGTAATTTGATTGCTGGCGCGAGTGCTCCTGCGAGAGACCCCATACTGCCGCTGCTGGATGCTGTGGCCCTCGTGGAGGTCTTCCTATCAGAAGTAAAAGTCTTGTCCAGCCGGCGGTTGGGATTGGGTGCGGTTCCTCTTTTGCGCATTCTCGCGGGGCGCAAAGTTGGACTTTGGGCAGCAATGCTCCAGGACTGCCCCCCCCCCCCGGTCTAACCGTGTGTCCCGCAGCGGCATCGAGAGAATTGCATGTGTGTGTGTGTGTGTGTGTGTGCTCGCGCGTTTGCGGATACCGCAGTGGCGTACTGGCTGACTGGACCGGGGCCGCCATGGCTTGACTGGTTGTTCGGCTGGAATGGGCTGGATTGGGGGTTATGAACGGTATCAAGCGAAAGAGGACGTCCACTGCGCGGGAGTCGAGGGCGTGATGCGAAGGAGGGGTAATGGAGGGGTGTGGTTGTGGATAGACGCCAGATCGCCGACTATTGGCGATTCTTGGTCGGCCTCTTTTTTTCTTCTTAGTCGGAGCCCTGTGCCTGTCAAGCCTTTCCCCCACGAGCCTGTTGGATACCTAGGTATGTACTTGTTGCTTCGGCGGGTCTCTCGTCTGGGCCTAGACTGAATATCTTGCTTGCCGTTGTGTCTGGTCCTTACGAAGCCGGACACTTGGTTCAACGTCTGTTCTGTGGTGTAAGCCTGGTGCCGTGAGAGGGCAAATGTCTGCGACATGGGAGCCCAAGCAACCTGGCATTGTTGCGTCAACATCTACGGACCACAGGGCATGATGCCGTCCCTTATTGAGACGTTGCTGCTCGTGTCTCTTAGAGACTGGTTGACGGACGGATGACCGGTAAGGCTACTTGCCTCTCTCGCTGGAGACGGTGGCAGGGTATCGAGCATCAGCAGGCTCTAGCTACAGGTATCCATCCAAGAGAGAACAAGACGTGATAGGCGAAGAAAGTTTTTGAGAGACTGCTGGGAACCATTAGAAGTTTGTAAAGAATCAGAAAAGGGCGGGCTAGCTGGCAGCACTTGTGCCCAATCATCGAGGGTCGAGATTGCATGGAATACCCAAGGGCGTTTTCAAAGGCTTGCAGGTTTCTGCAGTCTTTGCAGAACGGCTCAAGGACAAGTTCTCCCTCCCTAGCTAGAGCCACCGTGAAGCTGCAGCAAAGAGCCCAAGCCTCAAGGTCGCTACTTGAGAGGAAAAAAATAGCGAGACTGAATGGCTGGGAGGAATCAGTGATTGTGTGTCCGTAGGTAGTCTGAGCTCTCTGAGGTGTATTGGAGGGGTGAATGTGACGAGGGGCAGGATGCATCATGCTCGTGGCCGGGTCAGATTTGTGGAGAGGAAGAAAAGAAGGCGGTCAGAATGCACACGCCCACCCGCCGCCCATGGACCGTGAGCGAAAGGACCAGAAAAACGAAAATTGACGGGAGGAAGGAGCGACCACTACAGTCATCAGTGCCTTCCTGCTTCCTTCCGTCTCCTTCCAATTCCATGGTAACACAACAACGCACATGTCGCAGGGTGGGAAGGTGGCACGGGTGGGAAGGTGCCGCAACTGGCAGTCGCGACTCACAAATTACTTGCGGTGAAATTCTAGAAGGCAACTGGAAGCCAACACGGCCAAGTGCATGAAACGGCAACTTTGCGCCGGGCCTCGACGTTGTGCCACTCCAATCCCGTCCAAAACGGTACATGTACCCAGCTCTTGGGTGCTATTAGCTGGTGTACTTAGGTCCAGTCCACGCCATTGGGAATATCATCACCAATACAACCACCGGGCACGACCACCGTCACCATCCATCTCGGGACGCCTTGTTCGAACCACTGAACATTTGCAGTTGCGTCTTAGACAACAGCACCCTTGAAGAGACTGGGATGCATGGGTGGGTACTCCGTACTCCGTAGTATACGTACTATGTATCCGTACGGATAGACTGGCCTCGCTCCCTGCAGCCCAACGCTGACGGACCCTCTTCTTAGCCTTTCTTCCATTCCTTGCTGGTCGAGAAGATCCCTTATCCAAGCGGCCAGGCCCGATTACACAGTATTGTTTGTTTGTAATGCCGATAGCCACCGTTTCTTTCTTCGTTGACATGCTACGCGAGCTCTGTAAGTACCGAGAAACGTGGAATTGAACGCCTTACTGATCTGTAAGATGATACAGCCAAAGGCTCCCAAGATCCATTCTGATTCTTGATCCTACAACTCGAGGAGTTCCGCGGTTTCTTCCAGACGCACCAAAAAGGCATCGTCGTCCTTCCTTCCTGGTTAGGGCATGACCCCCCTTCCTCCCACCTCCTCGTCTATGCACCGCATCGTCAACTTGCGCAAGCGTGCATTTGGGAGTTCGCGCCAGAGTGGGCAGCCCAACGCCCCAAAGGCCCCCCTTCATCTGCAGGTCCGACGGGCCTTTCCCGCAGGAAGACCGACTTGAGAATAACTCCACGTGTAGCCCATCGGTGGTGGGCTGGTGCTGGTGTGTGAGGGCCCCATGTCTGTTCGAGAAGCCTGCTTTTTGTGGAAGGACAAGGAACCTTTGCCTTGCGAATTGAGGCTCTGCGATTCTGCAGTTGACGTGGTGTCTTACGGGATCCAGAAGAGCTGACGGGGACTACGATTCCCGCCGAATGGAGACTGATGAGGTCTGCTGGTGGTGCTAACGTGCTAAAATCTGTAAGAACAATCTCTCACCAGCAAATAAATTCCGTTGGTGTGCCCAAGGCAGGTAGGCTTTTGCTCATAATGGCTTCTCAAGACTTGAAACCGGGTTGGGTGAGTTCATGAGGCAAACGGGGGGATATTCAAGGAGTCCTCTAAACGAGAAATCACCTCCGTTGATAGGCACATAATTATTAGTCTCTTTTCAAGTAGCCGCGCACCTACAAACCTACAAGTGACTCTTTTCGTGCCCAGGTCATCTGCTTGAAGAGATTTCAAACATCACATGTGCATTAAAAACATTGAGGCCATAAAAGTCTCTCCCTCGAGACCTTGATGATATTCTCCAACTTTCAGTCAAGGTAGAAAGAAATCCTGTTGGAAGCTCACAAGGTCGACATTGTCTGCCGTAAGGTAGCTGGTATTGGTGGAGGCACCTGGCAAGTTGGCACCTGCTTGAGGCTTGAGCTCCAAAACCAGAGCGCGTCAAATGCGACATCCAATCAGTGCTCTCTCCTCGTAGCCCCACACGGAACTTTCCAGCTACGCGTGCTTCGACGCAACTACACTTCTTAGCCATCCATCAAGAAGACCAACGTTCGTTAA